GTCGGTATTTCATTGTCAAGCGTCGACGATACAAAGTTTCGAAGCGTCTCATATTTTGCGCAAAGCTGGAGGCGCTTGCAAATTCTGAACTTTGCCGAGATAACACGACTCGGCTAAGCCTACCGTAATAAGCTCCTCCTTCAAGCCTCCACTGTTTACTTTTGGGCGTGTTGTTGTTTAACAGCCTTAAATATTTATTATATTAACCGTGTTACTGTTTTTAAAGCAAATTCTTTGTTTATGTACTGTCTTTTCGTAACTGGGAACGAGTATGTTAAGTATTAGCTCTAGAATTTATATGAAAGCTCTTTATGAATGAATCAGTGTATAATATAGTTAATAATATAGTTATTTTAAAATACTCTTATATTATATTAATTGGTTTAACATAGCACAGAAAAATAACAACTCTTTTGAAGTTTGGAGAACAATGAGGAAAAAATTCGAATGTGGTATCTGGTTAGATACCACATTCGAGGGTAACTACAAAAAACGTAAATCATTATTCAAATAATAATATTATGGTATAAATATTCAGTCTTTACTCTTTACTATATTAAGTAGGTAAATAAGGTTGAGAATTGAAACACTTTGCACAAGTTACTTCAGTCTTCCTACCGTAAAGGTAACACAATATGGTAACTTTTAGCTCCTGATATTATTAGTCTTGTAGAATTTCCAGAACTTCTCCCTGAAGTAACAAGGTGTCAAGTACTTGTATAGCATGTAACATACTATGGTCGTGTATAGTGTGTAGTGTACACACGTCACGCCAGTCATCCGAAGCAGGCGGGCGATTTGCGCCTGGCTACAGTTATGCGTCGCGCGCGCCTTACACGTTGCAACCAAATTTCTTAGTAGTACGACTGGTTAACTGCTCTACTTCAATATTTTATCAACGATTAATAACTCATACTAAAACTTTATCTATTCAAAGCTGTTGTGTGATGATAACATGTAGCTAAAACATTTTACAGACGAAGAATTTAAGTAGAAGATTCTCTATTTATCCAATGTATTTTAGCATGGGTTTACATGTTAACTGACTACTAGTAAATTGACCTGGAAACGTATTGAAAATGTATTTGAAATGTCTTATGCTTTTTTGTTTACAGTGTCTATTGTTCGACTAATTTGATAATAATATCAACAGTTTTTGGTTTATTCTCATCACTATAAAATAATACCGCCATTAAATACAACATTTTACTTAAGAGCTATTTAAATATAAAGTACAATGAGTATTCAAAACAATTAATGACTTTAGGGCTCAATAATTTTCCAAGTAGAGCATACATCACATAATCACACTCTCCACCTACAGTGGCCTCAGCTCCAAATGCCCGGAGGCGGCTTCGAGGCACGAATGCCAAGACAAACCAAAATCTTATCAAACGCCGCCATATTGGTCTCGTTAATAAGCAAAACTGCACACAGGGACATAACTCACCTGAAGGCTGTTTGTGGAACATAGCAAACACTAGCCAACAGTACCAACAGTTACCTGTAACTTGTCAGCCGTGAACAACTGACGTTTACAGTACCACTGTACACTGCCATTATTTATTGGGCATTCTAATTGTTACACTCGGTTCTAACTTCTAAGATATGCAGATCGATAAATTGCATTTTACACTAGTCTGGTTTGTAATGAAGTAGGGTTTTGTTAGTACAGACAGGCACATTCTTTGAAAAAATATGTCACGTATTTTGAGAAGGTTGCGAATGTCAACTTCCTAAAGAATCCTTTTGAGATTGGTCTTTATTCTGTTAGTAAGTACTCAGTACTTACAAAAGAGGTGGAGTGTAAGTTAAGTAAGAATACAAAATATTCACAAATTGTAAAGAAAAGAAAAGTTAAAAAATGCGAAAATTAAATCACCACAATAAGAAACCACAAGAAAGTATCGAAGCCCTAAATAATAACCCTTTTGTCTCGTTCTTTAAGAAGTATCTTCTTAATTTCTTCTTTATAAAAAGGGGAGGAAAAATCGGTGTTTCTAACATCGTAAATTATGTTCAACAAAGCGCAATGTTAAATTGGATGTTGAGAATTGTGACAATTCATCCCGCAGCCGACACTTTGCGCAGAAAATTTCGATTAAAACAAAATCGGGGTAACATCCCACGGGAGCGGTTCATTTTATACCAATTAGTTAGCTACAGGCAGTGGATTCGTCACGAGTGAATGAATACCCCTTTGAATTTTGTCTTTATTACACGTTACGATTCGTGGAATCAAATTAGGATACAAAATCATTGTATTGCATTAAGTTTTTGGAGTGATATATATTTATTGTATCGGTTTATAGTCAATTTCATCTATACATACAGATAAACCAAATTGGAGTGTCGTGTCTGTTTGTAATATTGAAATAACTGATTTTTACTACATGCATATAAATATATATATACGATTTTTTTAAGGGGGGAAAATCGTCGAATATCTCTCCCGCTTAACCCAGGCGGGAGGCCGCCTGGGTCAAGCGGGAGGGAGTGTCAGACTCTTATTGACTAAATATATGTACGATAAGTATACCAAAATAACACTTGTTGCAATTTTTGTCTGTCTATCTGTTTGTGCTGATTTTGATGGGACTTTTATTGGCAGGTACCTGATGTACTAAGGTACTCCTTACGTAGACTACATTTATTTTAGAAAAACGCAGACGCAGTTGCAGGTACAGCTAGTAACTAATAAAATTACAATAATTATGTCCATTGTTCGTTAATGATTAACCATATGTTTATGGCACAAGTGATTTTTGTAAATCATATTTCACTCTTCCACCGTACTGAAACCGTCAACACCTGATTTCACTTATTCTTACACCAATCACTTGATTTCACGTAGAAACTGCTACTGTAAAAATCATCATACCCCATAAGACATCGGATCGTATTCCAATCGTGAAATGTAAACGGTTCCGCGCTGCTCTAAGTTGCTCGCCTAAACCGAGTTGTCGGGGAATCGGTAACAAAACGGCCATCCAGCCAAGTTCAGACAATAAACAGTCGGAGATAACGGAGACAGTTGCGTTTGCGTTCATTGTTCCACCAACTTTGTGGGCGACTAACTGACTGCTTAGAAAATAAGCCCCTGATACCACGATTTGTTGACTGAAGTACTGAGGCGTTGTGGAAATATGCACTAAGCAAATAGATGTAGACATTTGAATTAGATAATTTTATTATATTGCAATACTAAATATCGCACAAGTTATTGTAGACACGTGTGATTGGGTTTCCTGGTCTTTTACAAACCGCTTAATTAACTTTTTTATTTTCGTATTTTTACTACACGACTTAAAATATTTCTAAAAATGTAGAATAAAATGCTAAAATTCGATACAAAATTCAACCATCGAAATACTGAAGAATAGAATCTCCACCCTTCATCCAAACACAATTTGTATGCAATTATACAGAGCTAAGCTCTATCAGATGAAAACTAACAAGAAAATGTTGAACCCCATCCCGTTGTGGACCATCGAAAGTTCGTTAAAGTAATGTCACTCTATCTCGTCCCCTCACGAGACAAATGAGACAACATTACTTTTAAAAACGAGCTAGAAAGAGAGGGAGAAGCCTAGATAATACCCTATAATCACAGTTTTGTTTTCCAATCGCTGCTAACGATTATTGGCGTGTTATTCGGGTGCCATTTTGAAATTGCTTTAGTGCTAAGACAAGTCGTTAGTAAGTGCTATAAAAAGTGAGGGCACGGTGATTAGTTTGAAGGTGATTAGTGGGCCCTTGTTGTGTGGGGAACAGTTTGTGGAAAGTTGCGAAAGACAAGCTGACAAAAGTAAAGGAAACGCCAGAACGCCTTATTGGTATTATAGAACACTTTGTTTGCTGGGAAAATAGCTTACACGTAGCTAACCTAAATGAATGCATCATCGAATCAATAATGAATTATGTTGTAGGTAGGCCAATATAGATTTTTTCATATTTCTTTAAAGTCTTTGTTTACCTTCCTTTCAACTCCTATGTTTCAATCAAGTCCTTTATCAAAATTAATATTTCAAACTATAACGAGTCAGCTCAAAAACAAAGGATTTTAAAACCGGGCGATCCTTAATTAATTCAAGATGTCGAAATAAACTAAATACAGAGACTATCCATTGTCACCAGTTCACCACAAAGCATTTTGGAGTGGTATTTTTTTTAAATTGCAAATTGGCTGCTAATATGCATATCTCTGTTAGATCCACTTATCATTTACTTACAATATTTCGACAGACGAAATCCTTTTAGAATTTCCATGGAAATCTACGAATGAATATGAAACGCTAGAACCCTATTTAGAATTTATGAATATTTTGTGAAGAAAAATGGTGAACGTTTCTTGTTCTACTGTTAGACTGCCTCGTTGGCCGAGTGGTCGCATGTGCGACTGCCGGGCAAGGGGTCTCGGGTTCAATTACCGGGTCGGGCAATGTATTACTGGATTTTAAAAAAATCTCAGTCGTTGCACGGAGTCTGGAATTGTGCCCGGTGTATGGCAATAGGCTTACCCCCTATTACATGTGACTCATAACATAAATAGTGAAAAGTGGGTGTTACATTGTACAGTGGCACAATGTGCACCTCTGCATATCCCTTCGGAGATTAAAGGCGCGATGTTATGTTACTATGTTTATTGTTCTACCTCTATAGTAACTAAAAAAATTAGCATTACCCCATGTTAACTGAAAAATAATAATAGGTATGATCTTGTATTAAGAAGTCCACTTATGTGATGTGTGGTGTGGATCATGTGTTAAACAATAAATAAATAATTAACGCTGAAATACTCAAACGCTACTTAATTATAAATCACGCTTAAGAATAGTTCTGTCTCTACAAATTCTTTCTAAACTGATAGAGATGGCACGATATTAATGTACTTCAAATTAAGTAGCCTTTCAGTAATCAGGCGTAAAAATCAATGTTGGCAATCTTATTTTATTTCACCCAGTATAAAGTACATTACAGATAAAAGTATTGATTATGATTTATTCATGTTTTTTCTTAGGGCGATCTTCTTTGAAGGTAGTAACTAGTTGACCTTTACCTACCATGGCTTTCGGATTATCAAGGCTTATGGTAAACTCCACCATCCCTTTTTCAAATGGCCAGACAGAAGGTATCATGCGATTGAAGCCTATGTTCATCAAAGCGTATTTTCCCTGAAAAGCAAATACAGATCGATACGTGCACACTTATATAGACGTATATATATATATCGTGTAGTGTATGCAGCAACTCTTATCAACTCATGCTTTCGCACAATCATTAGACTCCACTCCCAGACTAAGAATTTTGAAACCCATTTATTTGACTTGAAGATCCTTACAATTATAAATTGGAAAGTGAGTTTTTTTGTTTGTTTGTTCCGCTTTCACGCCGTAACTACTAAACCGATTGCTTTGAATTTTTGCAAACGTAAAGTTAGAATTCTGGATTAAATAATAGGGTACTTTTTATCCCGGAAAAATTTGATATTCCTGAGGGAAAACAAAAGTATTGGAATAGATGGGGCTGTGTGTATTGGTATATGTCACATAGGCTACTTTTATCCTTATGTAACGCGAGCGAAGCCGAGGGTATAAGCTAGTTATAAATAATAACCGAATGGTTGCTTATGGGACGACGTTCTTCATCTTAGACCGGATTATCGCTTATCACCAGGCGAGATAGTGATCAAACGACGGCCCATCAAATATTAAAAAAGAAATTTAAAAAAAATATATGGATTTAGTTTAGTCTAGACTTTATCTACTCAGCTATTGCTTTTGTGAATACTCGATCAACGAAACCATAACTTTCGTACTATAATTTTACTCTTGTCAATTTGAAATAGATAAATACTTACAGGCACGATAGGACAAGTTTTCAATCCAGCTTCTCTCACAGAATCTCCAATATAAGGGTCGTCGTTTATAAGGTCACATAACTTGTAATGCATCTCAGGGAACGATCTCTTGAACTCGTTGTTAAGAAATTGATAGAACACAATATCCACCTGTGTAAAAAGGTTAAAAGGCTTCTTTTTCCCTTTGTCAAGTAGTGTCAAAATTAATTATAGATCGATCAAATTCAAACTAATTTAAAACAATCTTGTTTGTCAATTCCAAATTAAGAAAACAGTTATTTATTGATGATAATACCTATAGATGTTGAGCTTAAGGACTTTTTATTCTATTTTAAATAGCCAAAGTTTTTTTTTAGGTTCTAATGAGTTTTTTTATTTACAGATAAAGTTTTTGTATAAACTTTGGATGAAAACAGTTTTATGAGAAACCCGGGATTAGGTAAGTGAATACATAAAACAGTTGAGGTAATTATGTAATGTGTATCAAAAGATGACTATCTTACCAACACTTCATTTCCAAACGTAACCTTAGTCTCGAATTTTAAATTAACGACATAGTCCCCCTTGCGAGCGTTACGTCTCACGTTGAATGTAGGAGTATCCTCAACGTAGGTCTTGTTGTAGTAAACGATGTCGGTGCGTTCTGGTATTATTCTGAGACACTGGAAAAGAAGGCTTGATATATTCATTTTAAACTAAGTATAACCATTTATGTTATAACTTTTGTGAGACATACTAAATTAATGTTTGTTTTTCGGCTTACTCACGTGATTATTTGACGAGGAACTCGAACAGTAGCATCGCGACAGTCGCCGCGTCGCGGGTTGCGGAATGCTGCTCATTAATATGAGCCCTTTACCATGGCTTGAAACTAGTCGAGTTCCTCGTCAATTTACGTGAGAATAAGTCTTTCGACTTAATAATTATTCAAGTATAACCATTACTCAAACTATTTTATCACAATCAGAATCAGAGTATGTACAATGTAGGCACCTACGTAATTTACTTTTACTATGTTTATAAAACTGAACAGTCTGAACACCAAGGTTAAATCATTCGCACTTTCATTTTATAAATAGGTATTCTCCTAACTTACATGGTTATCATGCACAATCATCCACAACAGGAACACACAAACACTTGCAGTATTGGACATTATTGCAAAGACGCGAATTGAAAATTCAGATCAGCTAATATAGCTTCAGTGTTCAACCTTTTAGAGTCTGTAGTATGACATTACATTATATTTATACTGCCATCTATTTTATCTGCAAAAATAATCAAAAAATGAACATAATGAAACCTTTCAATTACTACTAACGATCTTCGGAAATACTCCATTAGGCAGGTAGTGATACAATGATACATCATTTTCCTAAATAAATTATATTTCGAGACTTAATGGTATGACCATAATTAAGTACTCAACTTTAATGAAATATTCATTCATTTGTACTTGTTTGAATACCAACTAATATGTTTTGATTACATTAAGTTCGGCACACTTGTGTACAGGTACCTATAGAGAGCCAACATATAATATTGGCTCTATGGTGAAAAAAAATGTGGAAATCTAGTATTTCCTTAGCTTCAATGGCTAACTCATATTTTATACATTTATAGAGTCCTTATTGTAACTTTGTCATATGCACACATATACCTATTAAGCATAAAAACGTTCGCATGCCATAAGCCGGGCTCAGCAATTCAAAATAAATTACCCCTATTCTGAAAACAACTGAATTATCCAGAGTAAAAATACAAAAACAAGCGACTCTTTATTTCGGATGCACGCTGGTCTAATCCAATTTTAAAATGTTGCCCAGACCATACATATTATAAAACGAGACTTTGTCCGGAGCTTAACGTTTAAATTAGTTTATCCCCCTAAAGCGGAACCGCGACTAAGGGTTGCAAAATTTAAATTACAAATAAAAGCACTGAAAAATATCTACGAGTGGGTAGTGGCTCAATAACGATGTCTTTTAATTAAAGCGGAAGGGGTAATAAAGCGACTTAATTCGGAATTATGGTAGAAATTATTCTCAAAGACACCCTAGAGTTTTGTGAATTTTGCACGAGTTCACGCAACGTTGAAGATGCCATGAGTGTCGCCTCTGAGGTGACACAAATTGCCACTTGAATAAACTTGTATTTAATCTGCATTTAGATCTAATCATATTTTTATATTCATCTTTCCTGGATGTATGTACATTACAAAAAATATTTAGGTACCATACAAATAGCAACTATTAATTTTCTGTCTCATAATAAATTAGATAAAATCAAAACTCATCGTATAACAGCTGTCTAAATAGCATCTCGGCTTAATCTACTATTAGTTGCAAACAATAACGATTACCGTCAAATTATGGCAAACAGCTTAGCCCCGGACCAGTGACACCGATTTAGCACGCTCCCGGTGCCGTCACGGTCGAAAGCCCGGCCCGCTCAACCGTGCCACATGTAGCATATTGAAATACGCCGCCCAACTGACCGTCCGTCCGTCACGTAGCAACTGCCCCGAGGAATCCCTTCAAAGTGATACCTATTTGACTTGCACGCTTCACTGGAAATCTGTCAATACTCATATTTAATATCTTCTTCCCCGAATATCTATCTGGAGAAATGAAATACCAAAGGTTCTACGAAATGTATAATTTTCTGTAGTTACACTAAGTAGGTAAGATTTTATTTATACAATCTTAGATTTCTATAGCTACTACTAACAATAAATAACTCGCATCTATTAATTAATATACCCACAACCAATTCCCAACCCTAGATTCAGCCTGTTGACATATTTAAATCGCATGATTTAAAAATGAAAACAATGGCTTTACAAAGTAGGCCCAAAGTATCTACAGTACGCACAGTAAACGACATCACATCATCATTAGTGAAGGATAGAAAGGAAAGATAAACTAACTACTGTACTAGGATTTCAAATACTTCATAAATAAATAACTTAAAGTTACAAATCACTACAAGTTATTTAATGAGTATCTGTAGAAAGCATCTTTAAATTTCCTGTCGGCTACTGTCTTCTATAATTATAAACTAATTTATTAATTTTGCTAGCTTCCATCGCGCCTTCTCGAGTTACAGGGACATTGTAATAAGTATCATCGTAACTAGCATATCGATGGCTGCTCGGTTTGAAATCCAGTTGGAGGTAATCACCTTCCTCCTTTCTAAGCTGTCCTGTTTCCTTACCATCGTATCTCGGGTCTTCATAGATAGTTATCGTCTGCTTCCTATGTGCAACTACGGGCGCATTTTTCGGGATTTCCGCGACTGGAGCAGACCGAGATTCGTCATAGCCATAACCGTAACCATGGTTAGGACCGTAACCATATCCTCCCTCGTGACGAAGACCTCTGTCATCATAGTACCCAGGGCCTCCATAATCTCTTTCCCATCCAGGATCTCTCTGCCATCCAGGATCTCTTTGCCAACCAGGATCTCTTTGCCAGCCAGGATCTCTTTGCCAACCAGGGTCTCTCTGCCAACCAGGATCTCTTTCCCAACCTGGGTCTCTCTGCCACCCGGGACGATCCCAATCTCTTTTATCGTTCCACCTTTGCCAGTCCCAACCAGGATCATGATGATGAACTTCTGGCGCTCGATATTCACGATGATCATGAATTTTATCTCGAGCATAATTGTTGTGCGTGTTCTTGTACTTATTGTGATTCAAATTGTCATCTAAATAATATTTCTTGCCATAATCTTGATGGCCATGTTGCTTAACTCCTGTGTCACCGTACCTGTTGTATCCTCCGCCGTTATAGTTGTCTCTTACGTATTCCTGACCGTTGTTGTGAGATCCATGGTAGCTCCTTCCTCCCTGGTTGTCGTGAGAGTTTAGTCTGCTGTTGTAGGCTGCTTGATCGCCTTCGTCGGTTAAATCATCAAAATAGGTGCTTTTATTTGAAGACTCATCTTTATGGTATGAATTTTGAAATCCTTGTTTGTGATGTCCTTTCTTGTGGCCCCTCTTGTAACCGGTCGCCTCGCTATCCTCTGCTTTATCATGTTTATTGTTATAACCCTTATATGCGTCGCCCTCCGAAGATGATTTCGTATCATGCTCCTTCTTGAGGTACTTTGCTTCATCATTGGCTTTTGAGTACTGGTTCTTATGATTGTCATTTAGTTGGCTCTCTTCTTGATGTATTTTTTCACCTTTCTGTTTATCATGCTTGATAGACTCCAATCCTTCGTCGTGAGCGATGTCTTTTAGATGTTCTTCCAGCGCATCTTTGATCGCCGATCCACTGATGGTTGAAACTAATAATAACACACAAAGTAACCAACCAACGCAATACTTATACCGGGGCACCATCTCATCTCACGTTTAACGTTAGGTGTTATCAGTAAAACGGTATAACTTACAATAGGCGGGTGTTGAATGTTATAAACAGTTTTATATCGTCGAAAATCGTGTTGGACTTCACGGTGAATCTGGGCACAATGACAGGAACCACAGAAGCTGTTGTGGGAACAATGAGTCGAACAACTGGCTGGCGCGTCCATGACATGACATTATGGAACTAGAAGCACGCGGACGTTCTGTAGGACAAACCGATCGAGGTCAATGGAGCCCAAACGGGACGTTGACTAGAAGGTCATTGATTCATCGTACTTGGTATATTGTGTACCTGTCTACTTATTACTAACAAGCAATATTTTTCCGCGTGGTTACCTGTGTATGTTCCTAAGTGTTAACTTTATTACACCTGATAAAGGTTTTGTTGCGAACACATAAACGGTCCTGCCTATCTAGAGGCCTGGCTATTATTTTATCCTTGTAAGAAAATGAATAAGGACAGAGTGTAGAACAGATGCGACAAAAGACTTACCTACTTACTTTACCGAATAATGATCGTAGATTCAGATTTATACTACTGTTGGTATTGATATGACATGACATAACATAATATCACGCCTTTTTATCCCCGAAGGGTGGGCAGAGGTGCACAGTACGTGTCTTAATGCCACTGTACAATGTAACACCCAGTTTTCACTATTTATATTGTGAGTCCCATGTACAAGGGGGTGAGCCTATTGCCATATACCGGGCACAGTTCCAGACTCCGTGCTAGTCCTTATTTTATTTGTGTTTAGTCATGTCATATGAACATGACATGACTCGGGTATAAAATTATTACGTACCTATTACCTATACCTATATAATATATATATAACATGGGTCTAACAAATATTTGGTACACACAAAAATCGAATTGGTTATACCTATACTTACCCTACAAATCAGAAATCAATCCCTAATCACTAGGTAGGTAGGATCAAAAGCGCAGGGTGCATTGAAACATCTTAAGATGACGTAGCAAGTTTCATGAGCATACGGTAGTTGAAATTCAGTAACGGCAGGGTACTGACCTTTGTGCTTCATCTATTAGAGTGAGACTTGACAAAAAAATTAAAAAAACAAGTTTTTACTTGAAAAGTAAGTCATGCAGTGCTGTTACCCATTGTGATTCGAGCCTCAACGGTCTATCTGTAACAACGGTTTGTTTGTAAAAGTTTTTTTTGTCTGACAACTATAGCTTATTATGGAGTATAAATAAATATTAAGTACATAAAATCCCATATTAAGTACATAAAGTCCAGTCCAAATATTAAGTACATAAAGTCTTATTCCCTGAAGGGTTAGGCAATCAACCTACTTGTGACCAGTTATATGAGTCCTATGTAATAGGGAGTCTACTGTGCTACACCAAACACAATTATCTGAGAAAACCAAATATCAATAGGTTGGATAGGCAGCTAATATTATCCCCACTCGAAAATTAAACCCCTAACCGTTACCGGGGCTCCGGCTCGAAGTAGGAGTAGGAACAGCAGTAACTTCACTTTTAATTTTTTGTTAACGTTCAAGTGCCTCTTAAAATGATTTTGACTTTGACTTTGATTATGAACGGGATGGTTTTTAGTCAGTAAGATTGGCGCCCCACCCAGGGCGGAAGTCATTGAATGATTTTGCCTATTCAAACAAAGGCCCTTTGATCAGTTTAAGTGTGGGAGAGCCAAGCTTCGGCACGAATGGCCCGGCTCGACCGGAGTGATACCACGGCCGAGCAGAAGACAGACGTGAAACAACGCTTACGTTGTATGTTATCGTGTGAGCGAGGTTATCGGAGGCCCGATTAGGTACCCCAAAAATCCTCAAATTCCTAATCCTGAAAGGCCTGTAATGCACTTATAACGCCTCTGGTGTTCCAATGTGTTTATGGGTGACGTCGATTGCTTACCATCAGGTGATCCGTCTGTTCGTTAACCGGCTTATCCCATAAAAAAAAAGTTAACGAATGTGACCAATTAAGCAGTAAGTAGGTAGATACTTACACATAAACAGACACCGTACTTTCAAGAAGAATGGGAAGATACCTATGTGGTGCTAGTGAGTACCTAAGTACATCAAAGAAAAACGGAAAATGAAATGAGAGAAAAATGATAGACCACCAGTTGCATTGCTTCGGGTCAATCGCCTTTTATATACCGAAAGATTCTCGTCTTGCCTGCGAGTACATATGCAATGATATAATTGCCATCAGATCACTGTTCCAGGCTCCACGCTTACAACTACTGAGAAATTTTCAAAATATCAAATACAGCCATATTGACCCTATCTGAGATTCGAACCCGAAAATCGCTTGACTAGCTCATCATCATCATATCCGCTATAAAAGGTCCACTGCTGAACATAGGCCTCCCCCAATGGCTTCCAGATAGGCCAGTTGGAAGCAACCTGCTTCCAACGGCTCCGTGCGACCTTAATCGTCTGTCTACCTCAGTACCTTGCGGGGGACGTCCTAGGTTGCGCTTGCCGGTACACGGCAATTTTTGTACCATATTTTATTTTTGCGTAAAGTCAAAGGGTAGTGTGACAAAGGTTATTAATTTGTCAAATCATTCTACAACATATTATAATAAAACTCATCAAATATGCACCCAAAATCTAGATTTTATCGCAGTTTTATAGAGGTAAATAAATAAGGTACTACTTCAGGGAATCAATGGGAATTAAGGTTTAAGTTGAATAAAAACACAAAATTAATTTCATAATTTATTAAAACGAATATTGTAACTCACACATATACAAAAATGGATTGACGCATACTTTATATTTAGGGGTTTTAAACTTAAAATTTCGTCGCTACAATAAATTACTAAGTTGTTTTAAAATGCTAAGAAGAACTAAATTTAACTTAACATTTTAATTATTTAAAATCGTAAAAACGTAGGTACAGAGAAAAAATGCAAGACATTTTGTGATACATGTTACAGTAGAAAAAAAAATAAAAATCACTTAATATTTAGAGGTATAAGGTATATACCTTTTAAGACCTTTTAAGACCAATTTTTTGGATAGGTAAGTACAAATTCTATTCTTAATCAAAATTTATTACGCATCCAAATGCATTGCAATTGATACTCAAACTGTATCCAAATAAAGTTTCAAATCGCAGTAAATGTAACAATGTATATTTTAGATTTATTTGTCTTTAAGTCAATCAACATTAAAATTGTTATTGGAAGTCAATAACTCTTTTGAGGCAAATTGACTTTACTTATAACATAAAGAGAAGTCGCTTTGCGGTCTAAAGACAGCTTTAACGTGCAGCTGCATAAATTCTGGCAGCTTTAGGAACAAAGGCAGATATTTAAGGGTATAGCAATTGTTTATAAACAGAGTCACCTCATTTAAACATTGACATTTCAAATAAGACCAATCAATTATATTTGTCAGCACGTTTAACTGAAATTGTAATGATGTTTTAAAATAAAATTAACCCTAAATCAGAATTGAAGGCTTAGATTTGTTAGTTAGTACGAAAGCATAGTAAATAAGGTTTCATACCTCGGCTAGTTTCTTTAGAAAATAAGGATCTATAGAATTTCTATAGAAGATGAACTAGCAACAGTCTTGTGACTCATTCTTAAATACCAACATTCTAAATCTGAACATAATAATTTAGAATACGAGTTGGATTGTAACCTTATGACGTATTTAAACAACCATTCACATACATACACTACAAAACAAACCTTATTCCATTTAATATAAAGTCGAATTTGCAATATAACAAGTGAATATTGTTTTAAATACCTCAAATATACTAGAGTCAAATTACGCTGATCCGTTGAGTTCTTTGACATTTAATGCTGCAATTCTAGTCTTAAGATCTTCAACAAGTTTGTCCCTAGGTACTTCATCCTCTTGTCTTGTGGTGATGTTCCTTACTTTGACGACTCCTCGTTTGAGTTCCGACTCGCCCAATACAACTGCTAGAGGAATGCCGTTCTCTTCACAGTGCTGAAGCTGATTCAACATCTTTGGGTTCTTCTTGTAGGACTGCTCGGTCTGAAAGGAATAGACAGTTTTTATAGTGACTGCGACATAATAATATTCACTTACTATGAAGATTTAAGTATAAGAAATGCCTCAAATTAAATTAGGTGTATTTTGTCCAATATATGGATCATTTTTATTTGATTATACTTTGTAATAACAGAGTCTGTAGTTGCATGTGTTGTCACAGACCACACACTATTTACTAAATGTAACCGTAAAACGAATTCCTGGGGTGAATAGATACAGAAGAGGGGTGAATAAATGTTGGGAAAATATTCTAACATTTATTCACTCCATTCTTGAATTCTATTCTATTCATCCCGTTTTACTGAACTCTTTTACATTGAATATTAAATTAAAATTGATGAATCACAAATAAATTTCCAAAAATCACTATCATTATTACTTTAATTCCAGCATTCCACAGCTCAGCGCAGATCTTCATACGTTCTTCAAGGAAGTTCTTCTGCGCAGACGCAACGTATACGTCAACTTCACTTGTACGCACAGATATGTCGCCCGCGGCTAGTTTAGCTTCCAACACGGAGAATATACGCTCGACGCCGATACTGACGCCTACGCATGGTACCTGGAACATAAATTAATATATTATTTTTTAGAAATGCCTCTCTTGTTGGTTGAATGGTAACAAGCACGACTACCTCGCAAGATGTCACTTAAATGTAACCTGTGTTGTTCCTATCTGTGATCAAACTTTATGCCTAAATCCAGATCCGTTCAATAGTGTTTAGCATCAAAGAGCAATAGAAATAGAAATAAGTAAAATCAATCATACTAGGATACAATGCGAATCAACCGGAAACGTGATAAAAATATAGTATGAATCTTGTAAACAAATTATGATGTAGATTTATGCACGATTGAATAAAGTTGCCATATCTTCATTCATAAAAACTACAATTAATATAATAATCAAATCAATGAGTATGATTGCATAACATGAAATAATGATATAAGGATTAAATAACACTCCAATAACCATGAATATTCATCAAATATTTTGACATGCAAGCCAGCTTTTTTTGTTTTTCTTTAAATCGATTTTGATAAGTTTTTGGATGACCCTGTTTTATTACTATATCTACGAATGGTCATTCCTGCTGATATTGATTTTTGTAATTATAATTTAATTACTTAGAAGGCTAATTGCAGATACATAAACTCGAAGCGCTAAGCCACCGTCATCAGAAGCTGACCATTTGTTAGATATTGTACAGCTCTAGGCATAACGGCTAATAAACGCTATTCAAATATACACTCTATTGGACTTGTGGTAAAGTTAAAAATCCTGAACATCTAAACATTTCCATGTCAGATTTACTTTTGCAAGTATTGGCTTTTTTTTCCTGCGATTACAAAACTCAGCGATCAACAGCAATTATGATGGCCTAAACGTTGTCGCGCCTCAGTGAGTTTGCAATCAATTAGTAATTACAGTTTTTTTTTATTATTAGCGCATATTACTTTGTACATTATGTTACTAAGGAAGACTATTAATTTATTTTTTACTTTATTAATTATATTCTCTATTTATATTATATCAATTATGTTCTTTGGTAGGTGCGTCACGCATTTGCAATTCTTCCTTCTTTAATGTATACTGAGTAAATGTTTAAAAAAAATATCTGTACCTGCTTATGCTTCGAATCGAACATGCCAACAAGGTTATCGTATCGGCCACCGCCAGCGATGGATCCGACAGTCTGGTCTTCATTGCCGATTTTAATTGGCTCTGAAAGGAAACATAGTTTTCAATAACAAGTCAACAATCAACATAATTGGCTGAAATAAGGTGTAATGTTTGTTTAAATCATTATTGTCTAACTAACATAATCTGCAATTAAAACAATTATGTTATTAAAATAATGAAGCGTCTAAACTGCTACTTTCGAACTTAAATACAAATTATTCTCAGGCTTTTTGAGTCCAAACAGTATCACATTCGCTTCAAATAGGTACTGCCAAAACAAAGTGTGTAAACAGATGAAGGGCTACTTTTTACTTGTTGAGTATAACTATGAGACTCTAGAATCAAGTGATAAAATATAATAATATGCTTACGCGTCAACACAGCCTCGTATATAACACCAGTGTAATAATCCAGGCCTCTAGCCAGACTAAGATCAAACAATATCTTATCCTGGATACCAAAGAGGCCGCAATACTCCAACAGCAATTTGATCCCTTGCAGACCTTCAACCGCAGCCTTAGTCTTGGACAGTTTCTCATCAGTAAGGAGTTTATCAGCCAGTTCCACGCCTCCGTTCAGTCGTACATACTCGCCTATTCTGTCGGCAGCGTCCGGCGATATGCCCTTCTCATTTATCATTTCAGTCCTCACCTCTTCCCATGGCGACTGGAGAAATTATATTGAGGATATTTAATTATTGTAAAATACGCTTTAAGTAAGTTAAATAAGTAAAATTCTGCACAAATCGTTTTTTTATACAGTAACATAAATGTCAAGATGAAAGCTCTTTCAAAATATTTTTATTTTGGGATGACAAATAAAAGGAACATGATTTCGCAACAGCTTACGTAGGTACGGTAAAAATAAATAAATAAGTAAATAACGGTACCTATGTACCGTTATTCGTGAATCGAACTGAGTATTTTGATAAAAAACTATTTACAAGTTTGCTTCTAGCACAAAAAAAAATTAATTAATGTTTTACACACTTACCTTATCTAACTTATCAACAGTGGAGCAAGTAGTTCTAAACTTGTCAGCGGGAACTCCGCAAGCTTCGAACATGCCGTCTAGTAGCCGCCGGTGATTTACTTTCAAAACGTACGAGCCGATCTCAAGGGCATCCAATATCTCAGTGACTACCTTTAGGCATTCCGCGTCAGGCACCATGGGGTCATATTGGCCTGCTATGTCGAAATCCTGTAATAAGAGTATTATACACAATGTATTAGACTGTCAAACACCAAGCGGTCACCGGTGACCGCAACCTATTGTTCTATAATTGTGTCTACAAAACCGGTACTCAACGAGTTAAACAGTTTGATCTCAAGGGCAAAATTATATTTCATTTAGTGTTTTGCAAATTCAATACCCACATATAACATTATATAAAACATAACATCACACCTTTTTATCCCCGAAAGAGTAGGCAGAGGTGCACATTTCGGCACTTAATGCCACTGTACAATGTAACACCCACTTTTAACTGTTTATGTTATGAGTCCCATGAACTCCCATGTAATAGGGGGTGAGCCTATTGCCATATACCGGGCACATTTCCAGACTCCGTGCTACTAATACTTTGCCCGACCCGGGAATCGAACCCGAGACCCCTTGCCCGGCAGTCGTGATTGCGACCACTCGGCCATCAAGGCAGTCTATATCTTGTGTTTACAAATGCACAGCATAAATCCTAGTGGGGCTACATCTAAAAAAATACTTACACATTGGTAGAACTCCCTGTATCTGCCTCTAGTCATCGCAGGATTGTCTCGGCGGTATACCTTAGCAATGTGGTATCTCTTCAGAGTGTTGATCTTATTCATTGCCAGGTACCGCGCGAGTGGCACCGTCAGGTCATACCTCAGAGACAGAATTTCACCTCCTTGGTCTTTCAAGTCATAGATCAGTTTAGAATCCTCACCATACTTTCCGGTTAAAACTTCCTAGAATTAAAAAAGAAGTATGTCATGAAGGAAATCTTAAAACAAAATTATATTTCTTGATTATTATAACTTAGCAATATCATGTATAGTTAAATAAAAATAATGTCACCTTCAGCTCAAAGACAGGTGTGTCAATACATTCAGCACCGTGTCTCTTGAATACAGCAATAATCTTTTGTAGGACTCCATTCCTTATGCTCATCTGTTGGGGGTTATAATCCCGTGTACCTTTAGGGGTCTTAAGGGTGAATTTTTGGGGAGCTGCATCTTCAGCCGGAGCCAACTGTGCTTTCAATGCTAATAGCTTAGCAACTTCCTCCTGAATCTAAAATTTAAAATAAAATTTTACTCAGATGAAATGCAATAGGTAGTTTATTTACAGTATGGAATTTAGTATTTTTTACAGATTTCTTCCTATAACAATAAGAGCATTTACTTCATAAGAAATCTGCCATCATAGACACATCTAGTAGTCTATTTTATAGCAATTGCAGATTCATTTTAAAGTCAAAAGTTTAAATAGAGAACATAGTAGTTCCTACAGGTATACACAGGAAACATCAATGCTACGTAATAATAATTCCTCACAAAAGAGAGTGACAGAAATAGAAAAATATTGTTTGCAGATATAGATATAACAAAATAAAACAGCAAAATAAATAAGAAACAATAGACTAATAACTAAAGTACTAAAAACTAACATGTTTTTTTATTGTTGTAATAAAATAGTAAAGCATTACTTAAGTAGGCCAATACCTTGCATTGAGATGTTGTTGCAATACATTTTGTGAAATTAGTGCTGACTACTGGATTGTGTAATCGCATCACAGTTGCACGGTTCTTTAGGAACCTCAACAATTTATGAGACATGCTTCACTAGTTCTGTCTCCACAGTTTCAAATATAGAATATCTCATCACCACAGCCTTACTTTTGTTATAACCGGAAAAAAAGAAATCCATTCTATATCATACATTTCAAATAAATTTTTATACACATTTTGTACTCTTTCTAACTGATCACTTCAATAATGTTAACAGAAAATCTTCATAAAAAAGAGGTTGTGGTGACGAAACAACCATATGTGGAGATTCAACAACTATCTACTTAGAGGGGTGAACCAAAAACCAAGCTGATCTTGCAAATATCTCATGCTTAGCTCATTACAATATTTACACAAAGCAACTCCAAAATCTACAAGAGCATGAGAACACACCTGCTGATCTATTGCGGTCCCATCTTTCACTTTTTCCAACACTTTAGGAGGACTCAATCTAGGTAACAATGATATTTCAAAGTCACTGAAACTCCCCATATGGTACCACCACCTCTTGATGGATGTGTATTTCTCAAAATCTATATTCTTTCCTAAGTCATTCTTTAATTCTATATCACAATAACTGGGAGTGTACCCACAAACGTAACTATAATCACATAAATGTTTCTCAATCTCTGGTAAATTGTACTGTAAATTAGTCTTCTTAGCCTACAATTCAAATTAATTCATATTTACTTCTGACAGTATGATGCAATATTATAACAATACATCAATATGTTAATAGTGCAGCCAGATTATATTGTTCAAAAGAAACTTACCTTTTCACTTGATTCTTTCGCAGCTTTCAATTTTCTCACAAGATCACCTTGTTCTTTAATTTTTAAAAGTAATGATTCTTGAGTATCTGCCATAGTAACTTCTAATAAACTTGAACTTAGATTTAATTCAAAGGTCTGTTCTCTCAAGGCTTCAAAGTAAAAGTGCTCTTTGCTAAGAAATAATTACAGGCTCTCTGTTTCATACCTTTCCTTTTACAATCGACAAATACCAAGCAATTTTGCACACTACGAAAGTACAAATTGTAGGTTATATGACACGTTAGTAAATAACTCAATAGACAGCATGAATTTGTTCTTTCTCTTTCATTCGATAACGTTATTCTACGTAATATCTTTATGTACAGTTCATTTATGTAGAACAGTATTCGAATTTTTGTACTGGAACACAAAACATCAAAATGTGACAGTGAGTTGTGAATGACACTGCTGACAAATTGACAACTTGTCACAAAGTCTTGCGACGAAAAATGTTGCCAAATCATTGCCAATTTTCGTGCACATCAGGAACTAGATTTTATTATGTAAGAAAATAGCAAAATTGATTAGTAATATGACAAAATATAATTTAGACACTTTATATGTACGATATTATTTATGGATTTCCATACTATTAAAACCCCTGAACGAATTGTTATCCGTTGTCCCACGTCAAAAAACGAATATCAGAAAAAATTACAGATGTCAGATTGACAAATTAAATAATGTCAATACCAATAGTAAATTGCGATTTGTTCATCGTCCAAAATAATACAAATTCTTGAAGAATTTCATTTTAAATGATATTTCACAATGGATAGGTTTGAGTATATTGAAGCACGGTTATTTGACGGTGAAAATTACCTTAAACGTGATAAAAATGTGAAGATATATGACGGTGATGATAAGGTTGTTTGTTTTGAAGTTTTGAGGCTTATCCTTATTCCAATTTATTAAATACAAAGGGTTACAGAATATATTTTAGCTATAATATAATAGAAAATACTAAGAGAAGGGGATATACCTTAAATGTTTTCATCTGTTTCAGACTCATTTTACTGATGGAGAAGTAGTGCTAACCACACACAGAATCCTGTGGGGAAAGCCAGGAGATATACCTAAGGGACTTGTATGCTTGTCACTGCATTTATACTATGTTTTTTGTATAGAGGAGGAAAGTGGTGGAGTATTTGGTCTTGGTGGACCTAAACGAATTATATTGCATTTGGGACCTGCATTACCAGGTAATAACTAATTTGTAATTAATGTTATTATGTACACGTTTTCTGACATGTTTTATGCTGATATCTTCTTATTTATTTCGATTTCAGGCAAAAGACCAGGGCCTGCTGTAGTTAGTCCATTCCATTTTGTGAAATTTTCTTTCAAAGATGGAATTGACCAAGTATTTTATAAAGCTCTAACTGATGCTGTTGCTGCTAAAGCATGGGAGAGGCCAGCAACTATTTCTTCACCAACAAGTGTAACAAGCTCAAATGCATCCCTAAAACCAGCAGTAACTCCCGTTAATTCTAAAATCCGTTCTGGAATTGTTGGAATTGAAAGAAGTATAGAAGAACAACACAGAGCTACTGATGAAAGCATCAACGTAGCATTTCAGGATTTGAAAAAACTTATGGAAAAAGCCAAAGATATGGTTGCAATTTCCAAAAATATTTCTACTAAAATCAGGGTAAATATATGTAGATAACTAAAACATTACACTAAAATTAATATTGCTTGTTTTTTAATCCATTTGCCTATTTACAGGACAAACAAGGTGATATTTCGGAAGATGACACAGTTAGATTTAAAGCCTACCTCATGAGCTTAGGTATTGATGATCCAGTGACCAGAGACGCGTTTAGATCTGACTCGGACTATTATTTGGGACTCTCACAACAGATTTCTGACATGATGGTGGCTGTACTCATGGTAACTTTATCTGTTCAATAAGTTTTAGCGGCTGGCTATAAAGTGATTTTTAAAATTACTAATATTTTTTTTGTTTATTACAGGATTGTGGAGGAATAATGTCATTAGCTGATGTATGGTGCAGAGTAAATCGAGCCAGAGGTTTGGAACTCATATCCCCTGAAGATCTTTTAAATGCTTGCAAGTAAGTATACAACAAGGTGTATTTTTTTCTTTACGTAGTGTCATATGGATTGTTTATCTGTTTACTCTGTTTTCAGATTGTTGCAGACAATTGGTGCTCCTATGACCCTTAGGAAATTTCCTAGTGGTGCATGTGTTCTTCAGCTAAATAGTCAAAGGGATGAAGAAGTAGCCAAGACTACCTGTGAATTGGTAATATCTTCTTTACATTTTTGAAGATTTGGTAATGAAAATAACAGGGAAATATTTCAATTAAGATTTCAATAATTTTTTTTTTTTTCTAGCTTGAAGATAATGGATACCTGACCCCTGTGAAGTTATCTCAAATCGCAAATGTTTCCGTCCTACTAGCACGCGAGCGTCTATTCACGACTGAACGCCTTGGTATGGCATGCCGAGACGAATCTATTGAAGGCCTGGCATTTTATCCTAACCTATTTTTAAGAGAAGCCTCATAGATAACACTACTATTATTACTGTTGCTAATTATGTTAGAGTTTATTATAATTATTTGCAACATCAAGGAGTTTTATTGTAATAACACCCCTCCTTTTGTGTGGGACTAAAAATAATACACCATATTCAAGCACATATAGGTTTATTGAAACTTAAGAGCATGGCTCTGAACAACACATAAGCAAGCTTCTTTATAAAAAGTGACAATTTAAGCCCACACATAATCACACCATGAGTAAACCATCTGTAAACCTTCTCCCAAAATATTACGAATCTTACATCAAAGCTATTATTATTACACAATTATATTATTTTACGACAAGATATGACAAAACATTATATTTTAATATAACCTACATATAAAATATATATTAGTTGAATCTTAGAGAATTATAAATAGAAGAAATAAATGTGATACTTCTTCAACCTTTTACCATACATATAAAAATAATCTATGACTATTTCAAAGCCTATCAGACACTTGCATTGAGTGATCACAGATACATCTAATAAGACAGAAGCTGGTAAATTTTTGATATTACACAAGCTTACACTTAAGTTATGTTTGTAGAAACAAACATGTAGGTATGTCTGTTTCAATATTTGTAAATCTATTTTGCTTGCTGGAATCTTAATGAGCTGAAATATAATAATTATGCAGCTTACACATAGTCAAACACTTGCCCTAATAATATAATATCAAGTACTTATGTACTAGAAAGAAGCCATTTCACTTATGCCTTTTTAAAATAGTGTACATATCTAATTGTAAACAACTACAATATGTTTTGATTACTTTTGATTAATACTGTAATTTAAAGAGACTAGTCTAAAAGCATGAAACCAAAATGTGCAAGAAAAGAAAAAAATCTAAATCTACATTTTTTGTTCTCCTTCGGAATGTGTCGAAGACAGCATTTAATACTCAATTGCACTCTTAAAATCCTTTGGTATTTGATTTTGCATACCACAACGTTCCCAAGCTTTGAAATCATCCAGAGATCGAATATTTTCTACAAAGCATTCTACACCTCTCACAAATGGCAGTAACATTTCTTCATTGATTGATTCTGAAAGACGATGCAAGAAGGCAATATTCTTCGCAAGGCTGTCTTTCATGTCTACAGACAATGGGCGCGCAGAACACTCCACTACTCCAAACTGTAAACAAAAACATTAGAAATAGTTTGAATTGTAATTTGTAATAAGTTTTTTTTCTAAAAGGAAAGATCTATCTAGACTGTAGGTGCTATACTCACTTTGTCATCAACAAAAGATAGTTGTAAGCCAAGATAAAGATTCAAACATTGTGCTAGACTTTTCACTGTATCTGGAAGGCGGCCTGTTTTGTTTCTAGTGATAAGTAGATCACCAACCTATAATAAATATTCAGAGTTAAATTTATCAACAAAATGTGATTTTAATTAAGACTTTGCCGATAGATACATTACCTGAGTGTCAAATACCGAATTCAGCTTAACATTGTGTTTATGAAACAAACAATCTGATACATTTCTGGAATTATGAATTATCTTTTTAGGAGTGTCACTTTCTAAAAGTTTCTTTAGTCCAGCGTCAAATGCATGGTACTCCATGACATGAATGTCAAATATATAAATCTGATAAGGTGTAGACAATACCAAGACTGGCATTTTACATTTCCTTCCCATGTTAGCACCATCAGTACTTAATGCAATAAAATTATGTTGATTCAGGTCATCCATTGCATCATGGAAAATCTTATCAGTTTGGTTTATGTATATGTATTTCTTTGATGTCTTTATTATTTCTTCACATTCTTTTTCTGATATTTTTAAATGCTTTTGTTCTTCTGGTTCCTTAAGTTTGACAATATCCCTTATATCAGAGTCATAGTAATGAAGAATGCCATCACTGAGGTCTCCTTTTGGTTCTTTGACATTGTAAAGAGAAATCTTAGACTTATCATTCGTCATTCCATAAAACCGGCCTTCATATATTTTACTGTTTTTAGTATGAACTTGTAATAATTCACCCTTCATGTATAAGCTGTCCATTTTGTGATGAGTTTGGCTACGAAGTACTTAGAAATTTAGTCTTTTTTCACAGGTTTTTCCGATTTTTCTGAATCGGAGTATGCCTTGAATATGTAAAGACCGAGAGTGAGATGTAGAACGACGACTGCAACTACAGCGGAGTATACACTGCTCGTAATAGGCTCCAGCCGCAAAATTCCATCGAATATAACACTCTTCGCAGTAAAGAATGAAAGCACTGGGACGACAATAATGATCAAACAGTATTTTATTACCGTCTGAAAGACTTGAAAATCGGGTAGTTCCTGAAAGTTAGTGTTGAAATAACCATTATCACATAGTCTATGATGTATTATTATTATATTTAATTATAAACTGATCATTATTCACTTACATTTGCACGTCCTTCAATCATCATAAAACAAAAAGAAATTAAAATAAATTAATAGAATTAAAGAAAACGCGAACACCGCCAGTCACAAGCTGCATCGGTCACACAAGAATGAATGAATGAATGAAATGACTGATAAATTGACAATGATGGAAGGATGGAAATGGAACAAGAAAATTGATTTTCTCACAGATAGCACAAATTATAAATTATAATTATTTGTGTTATAAAGATGCTTCAATTTGTTTCAGACACAATTATTGGAGTATTTTCACCTGAAACTTAACAAAATTGTGGGTTACGGTCTTATTTATCTTTATAATCACAGTGTTTTACTTTTCAGGTTCCAATACTTCACTCTGGTTTCTTAATTGAAAGATGAGGTATCGCTACTAGTGTAAAACAATTTTTGGCTAGTACAGGTCCTCTTCTTATTGATATTTTGGTTATACCTGGCACATGTGACATCAGTGTCACGTTGCGAAAGATTTACAGTGTCTTGTTCCTCAATTATAAGAGGGATCAAACTGCATAACTCTCTATATAGAGTTAATTGAAACTTCACGTACGTACGTATATCGGAAAATGCTGTAATCTAAAATACTTACTGTGTAATCTTTACGTATCTACAAGCCACCTTTGGAGTACTCAATGAATTTAATTTATTATAATGAAGGTAGTAGAGAAGGACCCTATTTTGGAAGGTAGTCAAATACCTTCATACAAATTTTATTACGTTTGAATGGACCATTATCACTTTCGCTGCTTCACGGTAGTTTGCACATGAAAGGATGGGGCAAAATTGTTGCGGGCAGTAGGTAATTATTACAATTGTGTAAAAAAGTATTTAAACGTCGATACATTTGTTATAATGTGTCACATTGTTGCTTTTGATCATGGCAAAACCGGTTTAGCTGGGTAGCCGAATACACGTTTGTTTGTTTTTTTTCTTAACCTTAAGTTAAATGTTTCGTTAATCTTAAACAATGTTTAAAATACAGTCTGGAATTTTATTAATATGTTTTGTGAGTACCCAATTTATGATTCCACGTAATATGTATTAAATTAGGTCTTGATAATGAGGACTTTATGAATTGCATTCGTCCTACAGATCGGGTCAAATAGCACTATAATCGATTTTAATGAAGTTCAAAAAAGTATTTTACAATGGAAGAACCAGAATTTACTCAATCTCAGTGAGGTTAGAGTCTGATTGTTAATTTCTTTTTTCTTTGAAGATTTATTAAGAAATATTTCAATACCATGTTACTTATTTTTAACAGATTGGAATTACAACAAATGGTGGAGGATTTGACTTCAGTGATGTGAAAAATAAGATATTGCAATGGAAAACTGAAAAACTTCAAGCTTTATGTCCATCAAACGGGTGAGTTTGTGCACTAATGTACAGGTGATGAAATTCCAAACACGTGAATATTTTTGAAATGATTTTACAGCCAGCAACTGCAAAATTTATTGAACATCGTATGCAGTACGTCGCAACCTACTAACGTCACCCTGAGAGATGCTTGTATCAGTTGTTTTTCGCAAGTAACATCGATGACTGAGGTTTGTTATATTTTTTTAGATAAAAGGCACATTGGTGTCACAGTGTCGTAGTATTTTGAAAACGAAACTAACTTTTTATACAAATATTTAAAGGGACCTCAAGAATTGAACGCGTTAAGTGTTTGCGCTGTACAATATTTTACCGGCGCATATGCGGCATGTGCCACAGCACTCATGGTAAGTAAGTAGCTAAATGCTCAGCCTCAGATTGTAATACTCCATGGTTTGACGAATTTCAATCGGTATACGTATATATTAACTTTGCAGGCTCTATCTACATCTGCATTAAATGTTCAACCTTCAGGATGCTTCATGGGCTACTGTGACTTTGTTCGATGTCTTCGAACAGCTAACTCGGTTAATTTGGTGTGTATTACGATCGATATTATAATAACAAAAAATATCTATCATGAATATTTAGAAGCGAAAGTTTATTTATTTCCATTGCAGATTACACAATGTACAAGAGAAGCTAGAACGGGTGTGAATATAACGATAGATGCAGATAACGTTCGATTTTATAGAAATGTCACTTCCTGTATATTAGCAAAATCGAGATGTGGTACATTTAATCCGATCACAGGGGAACCACAACTTCCTGGATACACTTCTTCTGGAACAAGAGTTAGCAACGCTCTTCAGATTTCAGAAACAGGAGATCTTAGAGTTTTGGCATTTTCAGCCAACACTCCTGTCAGTAATTCTTTCTGCACGGCTTCTACCAACTTGACGCAGTCGAATTGGCTCACAAATGTGTGCTGAACTGCTGATCGTGTTATGCTGATTATGTTATTTTTGAAGGAACATAATTATATTTTCGACTGACAGCTAAGTAGTAGTTAGAGAGATGACGACCAAAATTATTGTCTCATAGCAATATGGCCAAAACCGCCTCAAATCGATAGATACGATTATCCTGAACTCGAAAATACCAATATCAGACATTTTCCTTTCCATTTTTTTTCGTTTGATCTGACCACAAAAACACCAGACAAAAAAAATGTCTCATAGCAATACGTCTGAAAACCTTTTTTATTAGTCAATTTTGGTTATTTGATGCGAACAAAACAATTTTCAGACGGAAATGTGAACGCATTAAATATTGAGACCGTTTTGAAAATGTTAACAAATTTTACTGGTCGGTATCATGGCAATATGTCTGAAAATTGTTGGACATGATAAAATAAGTTGTCCACATGTGCAAAAAATGTATATCAGACAAAATAAGTGTAGCACCTTCTCTATCAGACAACTTTTCGATATTCAGATATTTTTGACACAGCAGAAATGGCTTCCCACGCAGTTGCTACACTTTCGACCGTTACTACACACCTAATCGGGTTCAGAATCATACAATCTAACGATTTTATAGGGTTTTTGCCGTATTGCTTTGAGACATGGTTTTGGTCGTCATCTCTCGTACTATAGTTTTTACTATTCCATGGTTAGCTTAGCACATTATCTGAGTTACCGCCTGTTGCGGAACGTATTCGATTCCTGATGATTTCTGTAGTGAACAATTTTATAATTGCGTCCTACGTATGTTTGTTGGTTTTCGAAATAACAATACCTATTCCTGATCTGGAATATATGTGTATGTCAATTAGTATGTTTGTCAACGCACCCACTACGACACGAAAATCATAAAAGGATTTTTTTTTCAAATATACATAATATGATTTTTTGTATTTACTATTCTTGCATAAAAATATCTTACTCTTTCATTAAACTGTCAGCGTCAGCCGAAGCGGGACGACACAAATTACTAAACAAAGGCCTCTTTGTTGGTTCTCCCCAGACCCACTCCTCTAATCCTCCCACTGATATGATATGTTATATTTATAAATCTATGAATCCTCCACATAGCGCACTGAATGCAACTTGCCACTTGTATGGGAATAAGTTAGGGCAAGTTGTCATTCAAGTTACCGGCAAGTATCTATGCTAAGTTGATAGTACAATCAAAACTGACAAAATCAATGTCAAACTTTCAAACTGTCAACATAAATGTCAACTGAAAAGAATTCAGCCGATGTTTTGCAAAGTTTTAAAAATTAAAGAAAAATTGGCACCCAGATTCAATAATTACGTTGTAACGCATACTCGCAATCAAGTATTGTGTGCTACATAAGTATTCACAAATCTGTAAGTACGTTTTATAATATGGTTTTGTCATTAATGTGAATTTTTAAAAGTTTTATGTTCTGGGTCTTATGCTGCATTATAACAAGTTTCCTTTCCATTGAACTGATTATATATTTTCTCCTTTGCTGTAGTAGTAGTGGCTAGAATATAAATAGCCATGCAATTAGATATTAAAAATAAACAATTTCTAATTCATAATTCTATTGGGGGTTAATCGTCCTTGAAATTTCCCTGAATACATTGTAAAAGTGTGAGAATTAAGTAGTAACACTATGTAGGTACTTAATTAATATTAGTTTTAATAAATAACTGTATTTAAGCTGAAGTAAGATATCTTGTTCTTAGAATGAATTAGATGATCAACGGTAATTGATTTGTTGTGTAGACTGTGACATGTAAGTAATGTTTCTTATGCATTTTCTAATTAAGTATCTATTATTCTATTCGAATTAGTATTTGGTTTATGAGAGTCATTGTGAATGGTGTACAAACAACTTATCTTATTTCAATAGTATGACTATTTAGCGATAAGAAAATGTATATATCTTAAGGTCTTTAGATAAAGTAAGAAATAAATAATATCTAAAACCATTTACATATTTACATTTAGTTTTCTGTTTTCTTTTAACTAGGTAATTTTAATTCCTATTTCATGTTTCTGCTACTTGAAACCGCTAATTATTGTAAAACTGACATATAATTTACTATAAGGAAAAACAATTAAACATAATATTGACACAACATAGATTATTTAACTCGTTGAGTACCGTCATTATAGACACAATTATAGAACAATAGGTTGCGGTCACCGTTGACCGCTTGGTGTTTGACAGTTTAATTAAATGTTTCTTGTAATTGAAATATTTAATCTCATCTATTAAACATTGGATTTATATTTTCATTTGAAAATATAGAAACTTAACAAATTGCTTTTTTTGGTATGGGATGAGTGCACACAAGCTGTCCATAATTATTCGACAACTATGAACGTTGTGGCCCCTAAATTCCAAGACACTACCCTTAACATCTACAAAAGTATAGATATCCTTGGTGTCGACATATCTAGTGACGTCCAGTTCCATAGTCACTTAGAAGACAAGGCCAAGCTGGCATCTAAAAAACTCGCTGTGCTAAACAGAGTGTGTGTGGTACTTCACGCCGGGACAAAGACTGCTTTTATAAAAATCGCAAGTTCCAATATCCCATATGGAGTACTGCTCTCATCTATGGGCAGGAGCGCCAGCATACCAGCTTTGACCTTTTGACGTGGTCCAGAAGAGAGCTGAAAGACTTGTTGACAATCCTATACTTACGAGCGGTATCGAGCACTTAAGTCTAAGGAGAGATTTTGCCTCCTTGTGCGTGTTCTACCGCTTGTATATGGGTTATGTTCTGCGGAATTATTTGATATGATGCCCACTGCCACTTTTTATGATCGCACCGCTCGCCATCGACAGGGGGTTCACGCTCACTCATTGGAGCCAAAATGGTCCCGTACAGTTTGGTTTCACAGGAATTTTCTCCCACGGACGCTCCGATTGTGGAATGAACGCCCTGCCGTGGTTTTCCCAGTGGGCTACAACATGAGGTTCTTCAAGAGGGCAGTGAATAGGTTTATTAAGTAATGCTCCAAGTGTTGCAGGCGTACGTAGGCCATGGTAACCGCTTACAATCAGGTGGGCCGTGTGCTTTTTTGTCACTGTCTGGTATAAAAAAAAAAGGTAAAAAAAAATTGAGATTACATTTCCATAGTTAATGTTGGGGTTGTAAATAGAAAAAAAACAACATTTAATTCTTAGATTTATTTTCAGACATAGCTTTACAAAACTTACTTTTAACAGTTTTATTTTTCTTTTTAATTTTTTTACTTAGTTGAATAGAAGTATCAGAGTCCGAGTTGTCGGATATAATATTAGCTTTGGCAATTTGTTTTTTTGACTGCACAGCAGTGGTAACTATGGCACCTTTCTTGAATCTTGATTTAGCTAATCTGTTTTCTGCCTGGGTTGATTTCGGTGCTTGTTGGGTGTTCCGAGGTATGTCCGTAAAACTAGTATTGTTTAAGTACGGAGAACTTTCAGATTTACTTTTTAATCTGAAAAGATAGAGTAAGATTTAGTGGTTATTGGAGAAGCTGATGTCTAATGTTATTAAAAAAAAAAACAAAATATTGAATACTGTACTCACTTTCCTTTTTTCTTCCAAGATTTAGGTAATTTAGTGTTTATAGGTTCTATGATATCATTCAATGAATTTGGCACTTTAAGTGTAAGCTTCTTTGTTTTGGATTTCTTCTTCTTTTTGTCATCCTTAGCTTTCTGTTGTTCCCCTTCAAGCTCTTCTAGTTTCTTGGAACAGGATCTGGAAATTATTGATATAGAAATTGATTATAATGATTTAGTCAAATATTGTTTTAATTCATTGAGTAATAACTTGACAAAATGTTGAGCAAATACCTTAATAATGCTTCACTGTCAGTAAAATATGAATTCATTGCAAAACTTGATATGCCCCATGACAGTGGACCTTTTTCTTCACTTTGAACTCCTGTCCACACATTTCTTTTAAGAGTACTCAACTTGACCTGTAGCTCAGATGGCTGAGTACTTCTAGTTTTTACTTCCGACAAGCATCTGAAAATAGAGTTTTGAACATTTTTCTAGTGAGGTCAATCATGTATCAGTTTCTAACTTACGGTGATTTTGGTCTTGGAAAAAACTTTTATAATTAGTAGAAACTTGAATTAAAAACATGAAAACCGAAAAAATTACATGACTAAGTTAGTATTTAGTTTAAACGTTTGAATTTATTTTCATCAGGCTAGAATTTTAATTAATTATTTCATAATTAATAGTTATTGTGAACTATAGAATTAGAACTTGTGAAGTTGTGACATACTTTGCTGGTGGTAAACACCTAAATTGGTGCCATGATGCGGGATTCAGTCTCGGTTTCTCTGTTGTTTCGTTAAACATTGATACACTTCTCGGTCGTCTACATTTCAAGGACTTTTCATGATCGGAATGATAAGGCGAATCACTTGTCTGAAACATAGCGACAAACGTTGGAGTAAAAGGGTTGGTATTATGGATTCGATTTACAAAAGAAGCTAAAAGGGTGTGATGTGTTTGTGAACGCGGCCGTGACACCGCTAAACATAATTAGATAGTAGATTTGTCTGCATACACAACTAGGTACTGTATGCTATATAGTACCTACATATATTTCAAAGAAAAGCGAAGGTCGAATTAGTTAATCAATTACGTAAAATTCCATAAAACTGAAGGTTACCTGTGCTTTTACGATTTTCAGTTCGGGTGGCATTTTTTTCTTCCGCCTTGGTTTGACTTTCATTGATGAGTGTATCAGTTTCTGAACTCTTCTCATAGGACTGTGGTTCCCGTCGTACGATTCAGCATCCGATGACATGTCCGTCATGGCATCTGATGTTAAATCTATTGTTGCTCGAGATACCTGTGAAGTAAGTAAAAACGTCATTAACTGGGGGCACAGAAGGGCAATTGATTTATAAAATATTGTCTAATGTTTTGAACCTGTAAAGTTTCCCGTTTCGTTTTTTTCTTTTCAATTCGTTTCATCTTTTCTAGTCTCGGTCGTGGTTTTCTTGGTTTCTGCAAAGAACAATTTCGTTATTATTACACATCAATTCGCTAATAGATGAAAGCTCCTGTTACTCACGTAAATATACTGATTTTAGATTTTCAGTTAATTTAGTACGTCTCACGACAGTTATTATAAAAACATAGCTCCTACTACGCATAGAAAATAGTACCTCATTTAAATTTTTATTTATATCGGGAAATATCGGTGAAGGTGGCGGTGCGGGCTGTTTTGTTGATTCTCTTCTGTGTCCGCCTTCGGAACTACTGCTCGACGTGTCTCCTTCATCACTGAAAATGAGTCGTATTAGTTTAAATATTCATGTCTATTTTTTTAATTTAAGAGTAAAGTAGGTATGCTCCACCTTTCAGGCGCATTTCCGTGCCCCAATCTCAAAATATCAATTACCTTGAATAGTCTGATAAATCAATATTTGTTGGCTCATCTGCATTTGATCCTTCTTTCAAGAGTCTGGTGACAATTTTTGTTCTTAGTCGTTCTTTACTAGGATCTTCATCACAAAAATCAAGCAACGTCTCACAGAATGTTCTTCCTAGACTTTCATAGTCTTGAACAGAAAAATGTGTTGACATTCTGCTTCCCAGTTCTGAACCGCCAAAAGATGCTTCCATTGTGTAGCTATTAGAGACTCCTAACATCCAAACTACGACCCGGCCAGTGCCTTCCTTACTGCGTTGTATCCTGAATTTGCAGTTTTCGAATGAGAACTGAAAGAAAGCGCTTAATCTCAATTAATGCATTGCCATATAATAGGTATCGATCGACTATCTAAGAATACGAATTTGGGGTATACCTTATCGGCCGCATTTTTGTGAAGCATCAAAGGAAAAACTTGTTCCTGTAAACGTTTGTCAGAAGTTTTTCGGCTTTCACATCCGTAAATAAATATATTGTGTTTTCGGGAATGTGCGTGGAGGTCGACATACATTGCTACACCACATTCTTCCTGTAGTCTGATATACAATAATTGATTAGATAATATCCCGAAATGTCTTGACCGTAATGTCAAGAGAATTCGGGGAAATTGTGTCCTTACTAACCTCCGTATCATCACTTTTGTATGCCAGACTGGTGGATATGTTTCCCGTATAACTGTTCGATATTGTCTATTCAAATCCTTTCCGGTCAGTGAACATCGATTGTTACCAACGATTACCTGCATTGATAGAAAAAAATTTAATGTGTCATGATTATTCACGATGCAAATATTTTATTTAAATATATATTCTCACTTACTCCATCAGGATTCAACATGGGTACGAGTTTGAATATAAACTTTTCCCTTAATTCACGAGCTTGATTCGAATCTCCAGTTAGATAATCCATAAAACCTTTCATCATCCAAGATGAAGGAGTTTCACCCGGGTGAACTCTTGCTGTTATAACAACAGCTTTCTTTTTCTGTTTAACCAAACGATACTTGAAGTTATTATTTGTTAGTGTTTTCAAACAATGAGAAAAATGAGATGTTTTACCTTTTGCTCTGTTTCAGAAGAACTCGGTGGAGCTGTTACAGTTAGATAATATACATTGTTCCCAGCTAATGTTCTACAAAGTAGCCTTAGTTTAGCATACGTTGATTTGACGGGATGAGATTGTAATTTAGATAGATATTCTTGTAAATCGGAGTAAGTGTATGGGTAACAATGCGCAATATACACAGCATCATCGGTGTGAGGGAATTCTATATTGAAAGTTAACGTGTAACTTGGAAATTGCTCTTCTTCTTCCGACCTGTAATTAGATTGCAATGTATCGTCATTGGATTCTTCATAGTTACTTGCATTTCAAATAGTTAATTACTCACGATGAATCGTTTTTATAGTAAGCGATGTTATCACCGCATCGTCTCCAGCCGATCGAATGCAACTGAGCGTCCTTGGTTGAGTATAATAAAGGTCGCATGCCCTCATTGTATAAGCTTTCGGCTTTTGATAAGTTCACTATGGAAAATCTGTAACATTTTGCGTGTGTATAATTTTTAGGAAACATCACGTAACGTCGAATGATCATGCAACCAGTATTACCTGTATGTCATTTGCTTTTTTGTGTTCGTGACTCTGAAATAGAACCATTGCATATGCCTATTAGTATAAAGGTCAGTGCGGAGATGCAATTCATAATATGCTGAAGTTATGCGGATTGCTTTTGCTAAATTTCCACTTTCGAAACGAGATTCAAATTTTAGTTCATCTTCTCCTCCGGCACTTGCACACGCTGATAAATATAAGCGTGATCCTCCGACAGTGGAGCGACTGAACTGTAAAACATAAATAAATAAGTAACTTTAACTTAGAAGCGAGATTAACTTAGAAGCGAGATATGAGTGTGAAATTACTTACATAGTTGACGGCACTCATTGGATAATATTGAAAGATCACTGTTCCTGCATCTTCACCGACAGGTTGTGGTTGTAACTCTTTCCCTGATGATATGTAATATGGTTCAGGAGATGCGGGGCTCCAAATAATGTGTTGAATTTTTTCTTCTACTACCTAATGGACATTTTACAATTATTATACTTTTGTTGTCATGTCCTTATTACTTTAGCTTTTAATTCAAACTGAATGAACCAATAATAGGAGTCGAGTACATTGCAATATAACAAATAATGGAATAAATTGAACTAGATTTAAAAACATTAGGAGACAAATCAAATATTATACAATGTACTGTAATGTAATGTAAAAACTAATATAAGTACGAAAAATGGCCAATCGATCTTTGGCAGGCCGAGAACACTTACTTGACATTCTGTGGGCCATCGAGGAGCTTGCTGAGGACAATCAAGCTCTTTTGGAAGTGCAAACAAATCTCTTGGTTCTTTTAATTTTGCTGTTGTGCGGAATGTTCTTATGTCTGTATTTATTTCTAACTGATTGGTTTTAATATTGTTTTGGAGAAAGTTCGAGATGAACGTCCCTGCGTAAAATAAATCGCATTAAATATTTTATTTACAAATCCAAACTGGAACACTACCGTGTTTTCGATTGAAGTTTTTAAAAGAGAATATGAATCAATTACTAGGAAAAATAATGTTGCAACCTGTGGTTGGTAGTTATAGTATGTTCCTAGCTACTTATTATGACCTACTTTACTTGAAATGAAACCGTCGCTCATAGCATTAATGGCAGGTTGCGTATTTAAAGGCATTTTATGTTCACAAATAACATCACTAAGCACGCGAGTCCCACAACCGAATTAGATAAAACCGGAAATTATGTAAGGGATCCTACATTGTTAAACACGCAACTACATTTAAATGTATGTTCATTTCATATTATCTGAAAATGTTTTAAAACATTAAAATAAACAAAGTATTGAACAATACCGAGTAGGCTTTGTGTTTAGGACTAACTCTGGCTGGTTATTTAGAAAACTGTAATTGAGAAGTAGCAGAGCGTGATTAACTTTGTAAAGTTTAGTGTACCTAGTGGGTAAACAACTCAATTACTGGAAAGAAAATTTGAAAGTTTTTGCGCTACGTTTCACTCATCAGAAATATAATTTACCTTTACTGCATATTGGAAATAACGAAGCTTGTAGCGATTTAACTTGCTCTATGTTTGCTATGAACATTTCATCTTGCATTACGGGATTTATCGAAGGAAGTGTAAGGGTTACCGTCGTTTTTTCAATGAAATCCTTTCTTTGCTCTTCCCTTTCAATCATCATTATGTTCTCTTGAGCGCTTTCGAGTTGTTTCCACCATAACATGTTAGAAAAGTTTACGAACAGCTGCATGAGCTATTCGCTAGCACAAATTAATCTTTGTCATGTGTATTTCTGTAATCGGCGATGTCGAGCGTTTCGTCACCATGGCTACACGATCGTTTGAATGTTAGTCGTCAAGTTTCAATTTTTGGCGTGTAACCTGGTGGGTTGCGCGGCGCTCCGAACTGAACTGACGACATCAAAAACAGGGGTACTCGCTTTCGTTTATTGGAAGACGATTGCCCTAGTAATGTCATGCTTCGACCGTATAAAGCTTATCAGGTGATTGGTGACGTCAAATGGTTATTCATGCGAAATTCGATGTTGAATTATGGAAATTTCGATGTCGGAAACCTTTGATAGAGGTCAAACTTTGATTTGATTTATAGTGCTTTATAAAAGCAATCAAGTGGAAGTTCATGAAAGTCATGAGTCACGATGATATAAGGGTTTTATTGCTCAGATTTGCTAGAATAATGTTTAGTACCTAATCGTTTCTAGGGTTTATTATTTTCATCACATCTTGTTAATAAATAATATTAAGTAGGTACTATTGAATACCTACTAAAAACAAGAAAAAAAAATACAATAAAATAAAAAACAACCTACTGGCATAGGTCACATGCCTAATTAAATTACGTACCTTGATCACTGCCCTGTGTTTGTTTTCCTTTATCACTGGGAGCTTCCATCTCTTTACTTTTACCCATGGCGGTGTGATGGCAAATTGAGTCACTTAGCGGAATACAGAAGGTTCTAATTACCATAAAATGCGCATTGTTATCGCATTACGTAGGCGTGTGCCTGTCTGGGGTGCTTAGCTGATATAAATTCCAGTCGGCACCTCGGTCTAGACTAGTCTGCCTGTGGTTACATAGGGTATGGTTTTAGCTGTTGAAACTGTGCATGGCGATCTAATAAGCACGTATAATATGCATGAAAGTAGGTGTTTAAGTTTTTAATTTGGCAACTTTATCTGCACGCGGATTTGTATTTCGCCAAACTTAATATAGTTGACAGATTAGTCCTCGGATTACTCACCTTGACTACTTGTGATAACGTATCCGCTAAAGGCTTAAAAGGTGACTGCACTTCTACGAAGCATGCGGTAGCTTGTGGCGGTTGTGAGGAAAACTTCCGTGATTGACTGTAAACTTGAACGTCCTTGTAGACTTCCGAATAGATAGATTTTCCTTTGAAGTCTTCATAGCTGCTGAACTATGTAGTGGTAGGTAGATGTACACAGATACTAAGTGAAATGTGATACACCCTAGTTATTTAATTTCATGTTAAGTCCTTAACTTTTTTGCTACTTTTATTCAACGTTTTTAAACATGTTTTTGTTGTATGTACCTAATATTACACAGTAATTGTTTCACTAAAGAGAAACACCCCACAATCTAAACACTATATTGACACTAGTTCGTATTTTTTTTTTTTTTTTTTTTTAAGGGGGGAAAATCATCGAATGACTGCCCCCGCCTGGGTGAGGCGGGAGGGAGTGTCAGACTCTTACTGACTAAAAACCACCCCGTTCCTTCTCCTGCACGTCGAGCCGGAGCCCCGGTTACCCGTTAGGTTCTCCGCGACTCCGAATCGGCATCGGCCCTATTGGGCCCCATCTGTGGTGGTCTGATGGCTCTTTGAGGCGCGCGCGGAACGCGACGCGCCGTACGCTCGGGTCTGTTTCTGGTCGGACGGGGAGCCACCCATGCTCGCCGTCCGCAGGCCCGCGCTTACGGTGGCCGGAGATCGTCCCGCGATCCCCGACGCCCGGTGTGTCCTTCGCGATGGCTGGGTTGCGAGGAGGCAGCGCTTCGCTGCCTCACGCGTCCCGCCTCCTCCTTAGCTAGCATGACTGCTTCGCAAAAGGAGGAGACGGCATCCCAATCCCCCTCGCTCCGCATCATGGCCTGCACTAGGCCCGGACGCGAGAGGTCGCCATCGCCGATCACTTCCCTGAGGACACGGCGGTGCTCAGCCCACGAAGGGCATTCTCCCACCGTGTGTTCCACCGTGTCCTCAGGGCGGTCCTCGCAGTGATGACACCCGGGCGTTTCCTCCCGCCCCATCAGACACAGGTACCTCCCGAAACTTCCATGTCCGGTGAGGACCTGCGTCAGGCGGTAGGTGAGGACGCCGTAGCGTCTCTCAAGCCACTCCTCAAAGAGGGGACTTACCGCTGCGATGGCAGCGAGCCCACACTAGTTCGTATAGATTTAATCGGGAGCCTCTAATCTGTTTGGTAGCTCTAATGCATGTGCCCAAGAAAAGGTTACCCAGTTACCTATTAGCTATAGCTATTCGTTTGCAATAAAGTGATTATAGCGTCGTTAACGTAACATGCATGGAAACGTGTACTACCCACATGGCTTAAATTGTGGATAAACAAAGTAGTAAGATTCGGAAGCAAGTAGTAATATTTTTATATTTGAATTTAGAATAAAAATTACCTAATTTTTCTCATTTTCATAATTGGAAGTTAGTTCATTGGTGTAACCTCTAATTGGAACCACGGAAGGCTTAATGCAGGAGTAGGAAGGGGGTGGTTTTTAATCAGTAAGAGCCCGACCCATTCTCGCCTCACCCAAGGCGGAAGAAGCCATCAGATGATTTTTCCCCTTAAAAAGCCTCTAATAGGAATTTGGAAAACTCAAGATCATTATGGTTCTAGGCGTGCGTGGGTTTTGCAGCGTTAAAAAATTCCAACATTATCTCGGAATGAACAACATTGGGAGGAAACTGGCATGTTTTGACATTCAGCATGCAGAACGTGTATCGTCTCCCGTGTAGCGATTACTTTTTCAAAGAGTCAATCGAAAATCTTTCGATGTTAAACCAAGGTCATCTCTTGTAAGACTATTCAGAAATACATAAGAGAAGTCTCAAGTGACTCAATATGACTTTTCAAATCAAAATAAACTCGGATATCGATATGTCGATATTTTACGCTTCCTAATTTCGTTATTCAGTCCCTTTTACTTCTGCACCAAAATCATTACATTCTTTTCGGCGCTTTAGAAGTAAATATAAGCGTGACAACCAAACAAGTTATTATGGTTAGAAAGTTAAGAATTGTTTGATATTTATTGTAATAGAAGTTTTAATGGCAAGTATTTCGTATTGTCAGGAGTAATCACTGCAGTTACCTACCGTAATGTACGGTAGCGTGGTCGTCAGTATTAGGCAATAATATTTATTGCTGCTATGTCGTCTGGCTTTTGCCTATTCTTTTTTGTTTATCGGAGAAAGCAATATTTGAAAAGTCAATGACACGACCCGTACAAAAATGTTCGGTACGTTTTTTACCGTCGAGACGAATATTGAAAAACTAATAAAGTATGAACCTAAACAGTTTACATAAATCGTCAGAGATAAAAATAGCAAAAAGCAGATATTTATTAAATGCCTTTTGTTTCGCTGTACCTACTATAATGTTTATTGATAAGTTGAAAGCCTAAACTCCAAAGTATTTATATTAACGAATTGGTAAACTTTCGGCGCTGATCCATTAACAGAAATTGAGTTGTTGTACCACTTTCCACTATTTTGAGCTCTAATAGAAACTTAATATTTAATAGAGCCACTAATATTATAAGCCTGTCTTACAGAATAGTTACGAAACCATTTTCTGTTTTCATGTAGGTAAGCTTAGGTGGTTTAGCTCGAATAATAAATTATGTAATACACATTATTAACGAAATATCTCCAGGGTTAATAATGACCTTTCCTAAGAGTTTTAAGATAGAATTATACATAATATGAACAACATTTTATGAGGACTTTATAAACCACTAGAAAATACCATCAGGGTACGCGTACTCCTATAAAGTTGTACATCGAGTTGCCTTGGTTACTCGGTATGTAAAATCGATCATGCTGCTCGAAGGCAGATTTGCAGATTTTTACTGGTAAGATTTATCGTTTTTGTAAATTGTTATTTAAACACTGTTGTCTTATTGCATGTTATCTTATTAGATTATCTGTAGATTATTTTCGTCTTATCTTTATTTTCATCTAGTCGAATCTGAGACTGCTTGAGTTAATTAATTACTTATGCATGAATAAAAACAGCTTTGGAGTACGATTATACTTTTTGAAAAAGGTTTCCTTTTCAGGTTTCATAAAATATTTTTATATTATATATTTACATACAAAATAACATGTATACTTTTACACGTTTCGCAGATTTTACAGGCTTCAAAGTATATATAGGGATATGTTAGATTAGGTTCATCTATTGGAATGTTATTCGACGAAACTGAATTAGCTGCAAACTATCGATATGTCTAGTTCGATTGTATAGTTGTTTTATTACCGCAGTGGTAATAGCTACCTATCAATTGTCAGCAGTATGAAATTTCAAGTTAAAATATGTAGAACACCTTCATTACCAATTCCAGCTACCGAAACTATTTGTACAATATTATTGGAAATGGTTACGAACTTCGGTAATGAAAGTAAAATTAGCCATGAACTCACGCTATGAACTCTATTCGACAACACTTAAACTATTTGAATTCAATATGCGTAATATGAAATACGTAAGAAATTCCGACAACAGTAAAATTCTTTGGAAATCAGAAATGTAATGGTACCAAATATACGAACTATTTTATGATATCCACTTACATGGAATATTGTAGGCGCCATAAACTATCTTTTCTTTGTCAAGTCGCTATTTTAGTTACATTACTTACTACGGTGCTTATAACTTCTGACATAAAAGATACAAAACTGAAAAATTCTTGGAAACAAAGCAATGAACATGCAAGACAATCAAAAAGTTTTGTTAGCTTATAATACCATGTCGCATGAGTCAATATGATCCCTTTTAACGGAACACATACTTCATACTTCTATTTAAAAATAGCATGACAAATTGATATAATCTTCACATGGCTTAAAAAAGTCGTTCTTATGGGGGTTAAAACGTAATCAATTACGTTATTCAATTACAGGCTGTTGACTATAGGGATGTGTGAACTATGTGTCTTGTAAGGGTAGCGGGGTGATTGGCCGGGCCTTGGCACGGCCTGGCGCGGATCGATTGCCTTCTAGACGGACTATCTTATGGTCTTTTGTCATTCATCAATCGCCCGTCGGCTTCGACTTTATGTTTCGTGAATATTCATACAATTTGTAACATCCATGAGGTTTAATAGAAACAATAGTAAATCACTAGTATTGCTTCGGTATTTTTAGTAATACGCATTTGAATAATAAAGAAAAATGGCAGCAAATGGAATTCATAAGCAAGCGATCATGGTATTTGACATGAACGCATCAGAGTGATTGAAGCATACAAGCTAAGGATTAACTTTATCACAGATAGTTAAATGAATCGTGCTAATAGTTTAATACAGGTTTTTCATAAATCTGAGCTCAGAACCGTGATATCCGTAATTCCTTAATTTGAACCAGGTGATCAGTTTCAAAATTCGTTAATCACTCTTTGGCTCTTCGTATGCGTAACGATAATTTCCATTCGGTATAAGGTATTAAAAATCCTCATCTCCATATTATAATTGTGCCTTATTTATTGTTATGGCATATAGATATTTTAATGAAGTAGGGTTTGGAAACTAGAACAGTTCACAGGGCAGTTTTTCCTTATAGTGTACAAAGTTTGAAGAATTCATAGACTTGTTATGTAGTCAAAAAGTTAGGAAAGAATTCCGAGCGTGTATGTTTTCGACATTGATTGATATGAGTTTAAAAACCACAATTGAAAACACAGTACTTACCTATAGTTAGGTCTATTTTATGAACAAGTTAAACACTAAGTAATAGTAATGTAGTCTTACTAAAAGTGTACTACAGTCGAGTTATTTGTAGTTACGTCTTTTAGACAATATTTTGTAAACGTCTAATATTTTCTGGGTGTTGTATTGCATGTTTTTAAGAACCAGTACCTACGCAGTTGTTTAAATATCGCAATGGAGAAAATTGTAATGATAGTTTTAGGTAAGGTTTTAAATAAATAAATAAATAAATAAATAAATAAATAAATAAATGCAGATATAGAGGGAGAACCAAATGATAACTATACAAGGTGTTGTTTTAAAGCCGCGTCATTTTCTAGGAGGTAACTCTGACATCGATTCTGAGTCCGAATCAATAAAAAAATTGTAGGTAAATATTTTTCATTTTTCTGATATTACGGAAATCCGTAAGTGCGAAGTACACGCCGCCGTCTTGTAACTAGCTTTATAACGCGGCTTAACACACAAACTCAAACACGTAATTGATATTATTCCTAATGGGGATGATGACAGGGTATGAAAATTAAAAATATAATTAGTCCGTAACTTAGGTAATAAAAAAATATTAGACACGTATTTTTTTATTTTGTTGTATAATAAAACAATACTTAGATAAAACGAATCAAAGTTTAGGAGTGGGGGCTAAAACGTCATTTCTTAGTATAAAATGTACTGAGAAGTGACGTCACGCGACATTTCAAATCAATATATCTTCGAAACTATTCGTTTCCGTAAGAAAATAAAAAATACGTGTCTAATGTTTTTAAATAATCTACCAGACGGACATTAAAATAGAAATTAGTCGTCTACCCCATTCCATAAAACTCCAATAGGAAACAGTGCTATCGCTTATTCTGAAATACTGTCGAGCTAAAACGATTTATTATAGCCGTATTTTTAACTATAGGCCCGAAATTTTCTCTTACATTGAACCTTTATGACTTCTGTGACATGCTCCCGAGAAATGACACGGTTTCAAAACTACACCTTGTATATTAAGTAAAAACGCGGGTTACTCACGTGAATATACTGAGAAAAGCTCTACTAGTTTCGAACCACAGAGGGGTTCTTCCTCATGAGCAGCGTGCGCGGTCGCGGCGACGTCGCGCAGCTCACTCCAGAAACTAGTAGAGCTTTTCTCAGTATATTCACGTGAGTAACCCGCGTTTTTACTTAATTTAGTATGTCTCACGATAGTTATTATAATTACACCTTGTATAACCTAGAAATGCATCACCTTTGTCAAATAGATTTATGTACATAATTACCTTGTATTGAGCTTCTTTTTCTTTGTTTAAAGGTAAATTAAGAATCTGCAGCCATGGGTCGAAAAGTGACAGTGGCGGTGACGACGCTGAACCAATGGGCGCTAGACTTCGAAGGGAATATGAATAGGATTCTGCAGTCCATACAGGAGGCTAAGGAAATGGGAGCATTGTATCGGACTGGACCTGAATTAGAAATATGGTAATTATTAAACAAGTCATGATAATCTAATACAGGCAAAAGGAAATCAAGCTTCCTTTGTCAATTATCTCTAGTAAATTTTCAACTTTTTCGTTACATATTTAGTTGGAAATTAATAAAAAATCTCTGGTGGTTGTATTTGAATAAGTATATTATGGTCACTTATTTACCTCATTGCGGTGCATTTCCAGTGGTTACAGCTGTGAGGACCATTTCTACGAGCCAGACACATATCTCCACAGTTGGCAAGTGCTCGCAGAGCTCCTCAAATCTGCGACATGTAAGGACATGTTGATCGATGTCGGTATGCCCGTTCAACACAGAAATGTACTATACAACTGTCGGGTAGCGTTCCTGAACAAGAAGATTCTTCTCATTAGACCAAAGATGTTGTTATGTGAAGATGGAAATTATAGAGAATCTAGGTGGTTTTCGCCTTGGACCAAAGTAAGTAAGAATCAAGTTGTTAGTTAAGCTTTGAACACGATATTTTTTGCTATTTTGATCCTAAACGGTTTGTAAATAAAGTTAAAATTGAAACACCTTTGCTTAGTGGCTTCGAAGAATTGTATTTAGATTTAGAAAAGCTAAATTGTATTTGTAATTGTTCACAAAGGAACGACAGACTGAAGAATACTATTTACCTAGGATGATTTCGGCGATAACGAACCAGTCGACGGTGCCTATTGGTGATGCTGTCATTGCGACGAAAGATACGTGTATAGGTTTTGAAATTTGTGAAGAATTATGGAATCCGCAGAGGTAAGAGAGGCGTGACTAAACTATTTAATCTCATGGTTTTTAAAAAAACTTGTTTTATTTATCGAAATTTGTATCAACACAGCCTGCCTGGTCTGCCTGCCTGCATGTTGCCGAGGAACTTAATAAGTTTTGAACGGATTTTTATGCAGGTTTTCTCAGTAGATAAAGTGATTATTGAGAAAGGTTAAAGTACTATACGCGTACGCTTTGAGGAAGAGCTAGTATTAAAATAAAATACTAATGATATCTGTACTCTAATAACAACATAAAGTTCTAAAAATTCTTATTCCAGTCGCCACATTCCTCTCGGTTTGGATGGTGTGGAGATCATAGCGAATGGTTCGGGAAGTTACATGGAACTACGCAAGGCTTACGTCACAGTGGATCTAGTCAAAAGTGCCACCTTCAAGAGTGGGGGCGCGTATTTGTTTAGTAATCTGAGAGGATGTGATGGTCAGAGGATATATTTTAATGGTTGTTCCTGCGTGGCTGTTAATGGGGAGATTGTTAGTAGAGGACTGCAGTTTGCTCTGCATGATGTGGTTAGTATTTTTCTATTGTAAAGTCGGCACCTCGGTGACCCTTAAATTATTTAAAACTTCCATTGTAAATAAAAAGTAGGCTTTAATTTTAAATGGTAGAAACGTAACGATGCACGAGGCTATATTAGTTGGGGTCTTCTTGCCCATTCAAAAACATACTCTAAAAGAATACCTATCAGATCTTAATTTATTTTTAATGAAACCTATATCTAAATCCCTTATTTTACAGGAAGTAGTAACAGCAACGATCGACCTCGAAGATATTCGTTCCTATCGGACGCAGATCCGCTCCCGATCTCATTTAGCGGCTTCCAACCCGCCATTTCCTCGCATTACAGTCGACTTCGCATTATCAGATGACGAAGACGTGTATCTTACTACTAGTCCGCCTATACAGTGGCAGTATTTAACGCCGGAGGAAGAAATTGAACTAGGTTAGTATGTACGGTAGTTCAATAGTTGAAATCGAATAGATTTGCTTACATTAATAGGTTTAAACTGTCAAACACCGCGAGGACACCGGTGAGCGCAACCTATTGTTCTTTAATTGTGTCTATAATGACGGTACTCAAAGGTAGCAGGCTGTGAATCTATCTTTCGTTGATAAATTTTAAACTTTCTTAGTCTGTAATACAGTTGAAAATAAACTACGTTAATTTTACAAACTTTTATTTCATTAGCAATGATAGAAAGTTGATGATCTGTTTTCTAATAAAAATGCATCTTCGTGTTTAATTAATGTGTCTTCGTTCTAGGTCCGGCTTGCTGGCTTTGGGATTATCTAAGGAGATCGGGCCAGGGAGGATTCTTTTTACCGTTGAGTGGTGGGGTAGATTCCACCAGTACTGCTTGTATAGTGTTTTCTATGTGCACACAAATTTGTGATGCTATTCAGAAAGGAGGTAAGTACATTTTAAGATTAATGCGTTGTTTAACTTAGCTACTATATAACCGAAATCTGATTGAATTGGTTGATGTTTTCAGAAAGTCAAGTGCTGTACGATGTTCGGAAAATCCTTTGTCAATCGGACTACACGCCGTCTGACCCGATGGAGCTGTGTAATCGGTTACTAGTGACCTGTTATATGGCTTCGGAGAATTCTAGCCAGGAAACTAAACAACGAGCTTCACAGGTGGGTCTTCAATGCATTATTTGATCTGGCTTGGTGATTGTAATGATTAACTGATTATAACGAGGTCTTAACTATTTTATCAAAATAGCTATTTAATACAGGTAATTAATACTCACGAAACTGTGATGGTACTCGACAAGTTTCGAGGTATAATGGGGGCCCATATTCGAGTAATCGGTTGGTAGCGCGATGCTTGCTGCGTCCGATAACACGCATACCATCCGTGATTATTGCTGTTGTGGCTACAATTATTAAACAAGTAATTGTGATTTAATGGTGTACCAGATTTATTTATATTCATTTTCAGTTGGCCAGCGAGATTGGTAGCTATCACTTTCCGATAGTGATTGACGCAGCAGTGAGTGCAGTTATTGGTATATTCACTAGCGCTACTGGCTTCGTACCGAAATTTAGAACTAAGGGTGGCTGTCCGAGGCAGAATCTAGCTTTACAGAATATACAGGTATGTTCATTACGAATATTTGAAATGAGATTCTAATCACAAATGCTTTAACTTTACTGTTATCGACTGCTTTAACTTTTGTTTGATTAAAATTCCAATAAGTAACCACAGAAGTCATGTATATTTTTATTACCTAGCATTATTTCGAAACTAAAACTTAAACACAAGTCACCTGCGCATGCGCATACATGTCCTATTTGTCAATTTAACAATTTTCTGGTAGAGCAATAGTGTGGAGAAGTGTAAATAGTTATTTTTTTCACTTAGTCAATCTTCACAGACATGTTTCATAAATAAAAGTAAATATATTCCTTCTAGGCTCGTCTCCGCATGGTTCTGTCCTACCTATTCGCGCAACTGATGCTCTGGGTGCGTGGCAGACCAGGTGGTTTGTTAGTGCTAGGATCCTCCAACGTTGACGAAGCCTTACGTGGATACATGACCAAGTACGACTGCTCCAGTGCCGATGTAAACCCTATTGGTGGCATATCGAAGACTGATCTCAAGTCGTTCCTACAGTATGCTAAGAATAGGTGAGAATAGGTCGTTTTTTGTTTGTTCTTATTTTAGAGAAATAGTTACACTTTTGATGTTTGATTTGCCGTGAGTAAATATGCCCCATTTCGAATTTCTAATTTCAGAGTAGTAAACAATATGTCGTAATGAAATCTCATTTTTAAATAATTTTTTTCTGATTTACGTAATCTATACTTACATGTATTTAAATAAAATAGGAGTGGTTGCTTCTAATATTGAAATAACAGCCTTTTTACTACATGCATATGAATATATACATACGATACTTATCAAAAACATTTTCTAATCTTTTTGTCTATGTCTGTTTGTAATGGCTAATCTTTGAAATAGCTCAACCGATTTTCACAGGTCTTTTACTAGCAGGTAGCTAATGTACTAAGGAGTAACATAGGCTATTTTTATGTTAGAAAATTGAAATAAAAATAGGTTATGTACTAAAACTCATATTCGTCGCTGACGAAGTCGCGGACAACACCTAGTTTTTTTTTTTTTTTTTAAAAAACGTTGCCCCACTAGGATTTTCTCCTGTGTCGTGGGTGCGTTTACAAACATACAAGTTCACATACACAATGACACCCAGACCCGAAACAACAATTTGTGGATCACACAAAGTGTTGTTCCGTGCGGGAATCGAACCCGCGACACGTTGCACGGCAGCCGGTTGCCCAGCCACCGCACCAACCGTGCAGTCAAGTTCTTACATAGTTTAATAATATGCATATATGCAAATATTGCCGATGAAAGCAGAACCTTACATCGTTCACATGATTGTCAACAGATTCTTCCTGCCATCCCTCTCGGAGATATTACAAGCTCCTCCTACAGCAGAACTGGAGCCCCTAGCGGACGGTCAGATCACACAGACAGACGAACAAGATATGGGCATGACTTATGCAGAACTCTCCGAGTTTGGTAGACTGAGGAAGACACAGCACTGTGGACCGTTTAGTATGTTCCATAAACTAGTGCACACGTGGAGTGATAAGTGTACGCCGCATGAGGTGAGATTTTATTTAGCCCGAATACTGAAAGGCTACTCAATTTTAAGTAGCGCTTAAGTATATATTTTATTTTTTTTATTTTAAAAGTCGTCATGCACACACTAATGTAAAAGGTGGGCTTAATGTCATGGGCATTCTCCTCTAGCCAGACCTTAGTCTTAGACCAGTATAGTTCTGTCCCTACAAATTCTTCGTAAAATGACAGAGATGGCACGATATTTGAGTACAACTTTAAATTGCCTTTCAGTATTCGAGTGTATGACATTTTTTTTGCATTTTTCGTAGGTTTTATTATATAAGTTTAAGTCATAAAATAATAAGTACATGTGTCAATCAATCAATCAACAGCCTATAAGTGGCAACTGCTAACCAAAGGCTTCTTCTCACAAGGAGAACGTTTGAGCATTGATCGTCAGACTTGCTCAATGCGGGTTGGCAATTTCAAACTTACAATTAGAAATTATAACCTATTAGAAATTATAAGCTTAGGTTTCCACACAATGTTTTCTTTCACCGTTTGTCAGTGGTGTTAATACAGTACACGAGTAAATAAATTAAAATATACATATGATGGGGGCTAGCATGATCTTACTAAAATATATGATTGAAGATCTTAATTATGGATTTTTATCCACATTCGTTTTTGTTTACTCCCTTCCTTATCGAGCTTGTGACTTCTACTATAGGCTTACACAAAAGTATTAAAGCTTTAATTAATTCATACACGGTTACAGGTGGCAGAGAAAGTAAAGCACTTCTTCCGTTGTTACGCTATCAACCGTCACAAGATGACTGTCCTAACTCCTTCGTATCACGCGGAGACTTATAGTCCTGATGACAACCGCTTCGACCATAGACCGTTCCTATACCGAGTACATTGGAACTGGCAGTTCAAAGCCATCGACGATGCTGTAAGTAGTTTACTTTTATTGGAAAGTCAGCTTTAAAATGTTATTTATAAAGTTTAGTTTACTTTGAACATTTGTAGATTATTGACTGTCGCGTGATGTTCTTAAATAAACCTTATTGACTTGGCAATAAAGCAGAAATTATATGTTTTTGAGAGATACAATAATGTGTAGATTTTTTTCAGTGAGAACGATATTCATATGTAAATAATGCTATGAAATTAATTTCAATGCGTGTAAATAATTAGTTCTGAAAATTTTGCTTCTGGAAAAAACCTTTTGAAAAAGATGACGTAACGTTTTATGATAACAATGTATTTAGTTTTGTCAATGCCGTGTAGTCTTTAATTATTTTGTTTTAGACTATAAAATTGATGCTACCGAATGCCCAAATAAGTAAAATTTTACTTAACAGGTGAGTTAGGAAATTAATATTACTTTTTTTTCATTTATTTTCTCTTCTTAGGTTGCACAGATGTCGAAAGAAAAGCGTGGTTCCAGTGATAGACCTCAAGACGTGAAACTGAGCAGTGCTTCAACTTCCAACGTAAATTCACACTTTATGAGGGGCGATAGGAAAGGCGTCCTTATATAAATCATCGTAATATCGTAGTTATCTATCGCTTTATAGTTCCCGTTACAATAATAGTGACAATAATGTATGTCGTATGTCTGACTTTGTTGTTGTTATGTAGACTTGCTTAGTTAGACTGTAGATTCGTTACAAATTATTTAAAGAACTAATAAACCTACACGGTCCAGATGTAGAAACATCTTTGAGTTCAATATTATATAAAAATACAATGAACTAAGCATTTCTTGTGTCATATGACTTCAAACTAAATTGTTCTTCCAGTGATTTAAGTTTAAGGTTCGCTATCAATTAGCCTGTAAAAGATTTTTAGCTATTGCTTCGCGTAACACATTATTGCATACTGTCTAGTATGATGTTGCTGAGAATAACTTGAATAAAGTCAACTTGGTATTGACTTAGGATATTTTGTTAAGACGTTGATTTAGATGCTTGCCTCATTGGCCGTATGGTCGCAAGTGCGACAGCCGGGCAAGGGGGTTTCGGGTTCGATTCCCGGGTCGTGGAAAGTATTCATCATTATCATCATCATCAACAGCCTATAAATGCCCACTGCTGAGCCAAAGTCTCTTCTCACATGGAGAAGGTTGAGTACTAAACACCAACGTATTACTGGGTTTTTAAAAAAATCTCAGTACTAGCACGGTGTGTAAAATTGTGCCCGGTATATAGCAATAGGCTCACCCCCTATTACATGGGACTCATAACATAAATAGTGAAAAGTGGGAGTTACATTGTACAGTGGCATTAAGTGCCGTAATGTGCACCTCTGCGTACCCCTTCGGGGATAAAAGGTGTGATGTTATGTTATGTGTTGATTTAGATATCATTTTAATTTTGCCATAGACATATCTAGTGTCTATTGTTATACATTTGTATCCTGCGGCTGTAGCCAAATGCCATTTTAGCGCTTGTCTACATGTAGAATGGAAAACCAAATTATATGGGATTGAGGTAAAATTTGGCACTTGTCAGTGTCATCCTCATATATTTAGTTTTCTACTCTCTCTTTAGAAAAGCGCTAAAGTGGCGTTTGGCTAAAGGCACTGTAGTGGTGTGAAACACAAGTGTGATGCTTTAAGTCGACTTCACATCTGTTGTCTTGACGAAGGCGCTATTGTAGTTTAAAGTTCCTAGATCAAAAGACGGTTCCCATTGATGAACTCCCCCTCCAATAAACAGAGGATTTATTAATCGATTTGCAGCATATTATGCCAAGCAGTGCTTAGAGTTCCTGATCACTGACTCTTTTATCCAAAAACAATGAATACCTGAGGCCCTAGTACGAATTTGATTTACGTTTAAAGTATTCGAAACGAGTACGTGTTCGGCGCTCTGATTGGCCGGCACTAATGAAGCAACCAATCAGAGCGCCGAACGCGTACTCGTTACGATTACTTTAAACGTAAAACAAACTTGTACTAAGGCCTCTGTACATACAAGAACAAAACTCGTCCAATTTTTGCCTTAAACTTTTTGATATACTTTTTATTTTATTAGTAGTAAAGACGATTATTATTTATGTATTTTCAATCAATAGTATTTTGTGATAATGATGTGTTTATTATATTATGTATTGGATTGTAATGGTATAGTAATTATATTTACTTACTATAAGCAAGTTTAAACTATTATCTTAATATTTTATGAGCTTATTGAAGTATTTTATAAGAGAAACTAAACGACACAAATTAATATAGATAGCTTAGCCACATTAGGTCTTAGGTATCAAATGTACGTACAGATAATTGTTAGTTTTACATATTTAATTGCTATAATAAATTGCTGTTAAATAATTTGTTATTTTATTCGCTTAAGGATAAGGTTGGAGTTCCTACAGCGGTGTGTGAGAAAGTGAAAATGAAGTATGACGTATTATGTTATCCGTCAAAGATAGGTCGTGTGCCGAGGAGATCAAGGTTGAGGAAGACACGGTGTAGAGGGATAATAAGTCTTCTTTCAAGACTCCAATAGAATCATATTAGGTGTAGTTAGTCCACAGATGAAAAATAGTAGAATGTTTAAGTAGTCTAGTAGTTTAATACTTTAAGGTCGGTTTTTCTCTAGCAAGATCATAGAATAGTAAGATGTTGAATAAAAGTAATAATAACTAAGTTATTAAGTTTCTTTTGTAGTTTTTGAAGGTAGTTTAGTAGTTTTAGTATGAAAACTGACTTACTGCATGCGTAAGACGTAACTAGTGGATTGAGACTACCTTGATGCCTGTATATAGGATGGTTATTTATAACAACCAATTTTTTTTTTAATTCCTCAGGTTTAAATACAGTAAAAAGTAAAACCAGTGAGTGTGTTTTGAATATTTATTGTCTAAAATCTAAGTAACCTAACAAATACTACAGTCGGTAATACATTATCGTTCAGTGTTGCAAATCCTGTTCAGTTGTGAATTTATTGTACGGGGACTGTTCGTTGGAAGAATTGCCTTATCCCTGGAAACCTGGAATACATAAATATGTATGTAAATAATATGTCAGATCAGAATCACTATAAATTTTAAGGTTAAAAAGACAGAAGCCTCAATAAATAACAACCACTACAATGAAATTCGTCGCTTAACCTCTTGTATTTCGGAGTGTAGATCTACGCGAGACGCAATGCGTTTTCTATTGTATCTCATATACTGGCAGCCAAGAGGTTAATAGATTTTTAACTATAATTCCAAAAGAATTAAGTTTTTGTAACTGCCCATAATTTTTACACCCCCTATTATAGTACTTAGGTAGACTAATGTAGCCCTCTAACAAAACTCGACGGCGTGGTATTTTACGTTATATTTATGAAACCACGTGGTTCATTTTGTATTTTTAAACTTCTTGTTTGAGGTTGACAGTAAAAGATACGCTGGATAATTTCTCACGTCATTTATGGATTTTACTCACCCGGAATGAACCTTTGTGCGAAGAAATCCACCATGGTCTTTCCTTCCTTCATGGCCTCGCCGATGATGTTTGCTGTAACATACCCAGAAAAATAACATCATGTATTTAAATTTGTATTATACCTTTCATGAGACATATTAAATAAATTATTTTGTTTTCGGCTTACTCACGTAATTATTGTAATTATTGCCGTAAGCCATGCTAGATGCTCATGAATATGACCCATGCTAGATGCTCATGAATATGAGCCTCTAGCATGGCTTGAAACTAGTCGAGTTCCTCGTCAAATAATTACGTGATTAAGCCGAAAACATAATAATTTATGTACAGTATTGGTGGCAAGAAATCGGATGATTACTTTAGACCATAATTATTATGCTTTTACGATCATATAGTGCTTATTAAATTGTTAACATCTCGTTTCAGTGTGAATAATTTTCATGTTATCTGTTTTAATGTTCCGTTGATGAACTTTGGGATTAATAATTTAAGTTGAGCATGCAATTATGAGACCTTTTCACCCCTTTGGGAATGTGATGCTTAATTTTTTTTTAATGGGGAAAGTCATCGAATGACTTCTCCCACCTGCTTGAGGTTGTGTTATGATATTTATCTCATAAAGAGATGAAGTGGAGTAGAAGTGTAGTAATTACTTATATGCAGTTATACCTAAACCTAGTTACGTGGAAATGTATCGGGATTTGTTAGATCGATACTATTATACGTACTTACAGTTTTGTTGGTTTGAAGATGGATTCGCTGAGCCTGAAATGGATCAAACGTATTTATTAGAAGTTTTTGTGAATGCATTAGACAGGTATCAAATAAAATCGTGCGAATTGACAAAGATTTTGAGACCTTTAAAATATGCCTTGTAATTAAATATCATAATTTATTCGGAGTGTAGTATTTTCTAAGGCATTTCAGGGCCTTCTTGTTCTGGAGTCTGCTTTGCAACTTGTGAAACAGGATCTTTAGTAGCAATAGTTAGCTCAAATCTTGTAAACACGTAATGTTTGAAATATTGTTGCGAGTTATTATAAGAATTACGGCGGTAAACAAGTAGACAGATCATCTGATGGTAAGCAAATGACGCCACCCACAGCCATTGGGGGATTAGGAATCGGGGGGAAGATCGGGCCTTCGACTACACTGTTAACTTTACTAAACTATGCGAGTAATATGTGTTTACCTCCAGCAGCAGAAGGGTTAGCGCCAGGGTTGGCTCCAGCAGCAGCTGGAGATGCAGCGTTAGGAGCACCGCTAGGGGCACCACTGGGAGCACCACTAGGGGCACCACTAGGAGCACCACTAGGAGCGCCACTGGGGGCACCAGCACCAGCAGGGTTACCAGCAGCGGTGTTAGCTGTAGGAGCGGCACTGTTGGCAGCGCCTGGCGCGCCAGATGGAGCACCACCTGCAATAGGTACGTTATAAATTTGATGGTTAACTACGTCTTCTGCGCACGCATTGACTAAAGGAATAAGTCTGAATATTTTTGATTTTGTGCTCATCAGCGGTGCCTATGACCCACATTGCGAGTTTCATAACATTTAGTACAATATTTCTCAAAAATATTAACAAACGCTTTTTTACATCAGACAAAACTTTCTGAGATTCACGTGAACGAATATCTTTACTAACCTAACTTATACTACAGGCTGACTTTAAAATATGTTTGTTTTAAAGATCCCGCTGATTGGTAGCAGGTAAACATTTAGATATCTAATTAAGTTTAAAAATGTTTCTATTGCTACATAGAATACCCATAGGGTAACCCACTGAATATAAGATAGCCAATTTACGACTTGGGAATGCATTTAAATTCCTTAACGCGTGCTTTTGTCCCGTTCCTAAAACTTACGCTGGGCGAATACAAAATTAATTTAATTTGTTAAATGTCTCTTCTACGTAAAATACATATATACATAATGATACAACTAAAGCAAATACAAGAGTCGATATTAAAATTGAACGGTTTGGTTACTTATTTGGTTTAAGTACTTGCATTAAAGTTTAGGTACGGAAAGTGTAATCTATTAGTGTTGTTTTTATTATAAGTTATTTCAGCCAATAGGCCTTTTAATGATTTTGGGGGATTTACTTACCGGGTGCTTGGCCGGCTTGCGCTCCAGGAGTAGCTTGTCCTGCCGCTTGTCCAGCCGCCTGTCCTACCGCCTGTCCAGCCGCCTGTCCAGCGGCAGCCACCTGCTGACCTGCTGGTGCAGCAGGAGGCTGCTGAGGCTTGGCGCTCTAAAATTAATTTACACATTAATAAATCTTGGGCTGTAAAGAATGTTCTATTACAAAATATATGTAGAATATAAAAATCTTTACCACATATACAAATACTGCAGCCACAACAAGACAAAGTGTAGCGGTCTTCATTTTGTCTCGATTACTTTTTTCACTCTGTAACTCTTGATCTAGCTTTACTCAAGTTCAGTAAAACACTAATCTCTTCTTAGCTCCAGGCGTATTATATATGAAATCTATGTACCGAAGTAAAACAACAAACAATTGTTCAAATAGATTTACGCTAATTTAGACAAATGCTACACTAATTGGTACGCATGTGTTAAATTGTTTGTCACTCGCCTCTGCAATAATAACTTTTGTTAAGGGATCACTCACTGTCTATATTGGTTCGAGAAGCAGCTATTTTGACTAATTATGTATCTACGTATATTCTAAAGTTGGGTAAGGCTGGGTTCACATTGTATGTCCTAACAAATTTGTATCTAAAATTGTCTCGTTTGCGTAATAGTTGCTTGCTTTTAAGGGTAGTGCTTTGGACGAGATTGTCTATTAATTTTTAATAAATAATGGATATTTTCTTCTCTTTGTGATAGAATTTTAGGCCATAATAATTATATTTTATCTAAATTTCGAGTTAAATTCTAGAAATATATGGAACGCCATAATTTCTAGAACCAGCATCACAACGCCGGTACCTACATCATGTGGCTGGGTAACACCATATAGGTATTATTCTAAGCATAATAATTATATCAAAATATTCATTTAATTATTTACTTAAAAATAAAAACACCAACTGAACAAACTGCTCAAAAATGTTAAAATCTGAGTAAATATTCTGAATTATGTTATTTATAGATTTGTTGTGAAGAACTGTAATTTAGGTACGAAACTGTTGATTTGAAATGGATATGTTTTAATCGCTGTATCTTTGGAATTAATTTAAAATTTATGAAAACTTGGTCTAAACATTTCAATCCCATTGAGATTTGAGGAATTATTATCATACAGAACTCCTAACTTATCTAGACAAGATAGATCCAAAGATTAAGATCGAAAATAGTCTATTAAGATAACTAAATGTTTTCGTGACGATATATGTACCTAATTATGTACATTTCCTAGAACTTCAAGGTTCCAAAATAACAGCTCAATTGTGTATTCGTCCTTAGGTACCTAAACTAAGGAAGGTAACTTGTTATTCATACGACCGTCAATGTTACGCTTTTTAAAAGCATTTTGCGCACGTCTGCCTTTGAAACTCAAACCTACGCACAAAATATAGATTTTTCTAGAAGTTGTACAAGTAAATAACGAACCAGATGTAGAATATTTAACCATTATTTTAATTAAGAGGCCAGTGACATGTAGATTTACACAGTACATTAGATTTATACAGGGTGTAAATGGAATGCTCCCGAAAAACGTCGACAGGTGATAGTCAAAAACAAGTCTTATTTTCATGAGAGTAAGGAATTAAATATTTCTTTTAAGTAATAATAGTTGTAATCAATCGCACAAAACTGAAATTACCGGCTACCTATATGAAGGACTGCCTCGTTGGCCGATTGGTGCTACTGCCGGACAAGGGGTATCGGATTCGATTCCCGGGTCGGGCAAGGTATAACTGGTTTTTTTTTAATTCTCAGTAGCAGCACGGATTCTGGAATACGGTAGTTGACAGGTAGTCAAATTCAATACTTTTATTGAAATGTCAAAAACGATACTTTTCTATGAATTTTGAATGGATCGCTACTTATGACGTTATCATATTTCTGCGTCAAACAGCATACTTATTTCCTTAAAATTAGCGAGAGAAAATCCTAAAGTAGGTAAATTGTCAAATCAGTTAATGAGAGTATGATTATTTTTTAAATATTTATTGCATTGAGAAGTTGACATAATTTATTTTAGACCTAGGAAACTAGTCAATTGTGCCCGGAATATGGCAATAGGCCCATCCCCTAAAACATGGGACTCATAACATAAATAGTGAAAAGTGGGTGTTACATTGTACAGTGGCATTAAGTGTCGTAATGTGAACCTCTGCGTACCCCTTCGGGGGTAAAAGGCGTGATGTTGATGACTATATTAAGATTGTCTGTTTTTAAGAAACTTTTCAATTTTAAAAGCAGCAATTCTCTCTTTTGGTATTTCAAAATTATACTTACCTATTCAAAAATCATAAACGTCGTCGATTTTTTTTTTACCTAGTTATGTCCATGTAGTATACTCGTATCTAAAGAATACTTGTCAAAATCAACAGAATTACAAGAGATTGGAAAAATACAAAGATTAGCAAGTACCATAGATTTACGACAAAAGAACTTGTGTAATTAGTTAACAAAATCTGCGTCATTTGGAAGCTACTCTATAATAATGGCGGGGGGCGGTGACTTTCCATAATGGTTTAAAACCTGAAAAATAATACATAACATAACACATGACGTAATGCCTTATAAGCCCCAAACAGGTAGGTAGATGTGCACATTCCTAATGTTTACAATGTAACACCAATTTTTACTTTTTTGAGATCATAGAACAAGGGGTGAGCATACTGATTGAATTAAGTAGATATTGAAAAATAACGAAGCAATATAACATCACACTTTTAATCCCCGAATGTGATAAGCAGAGGTGCACATCACGGCACTTAATGCCAATGTTTTTTTTTATAGCATAAGCCGGTAATGGAGCAGACGGATCACCTGATGGTAAGCAATCAGCGCCGCCCATGGACACCCAATAAGGGGTTATAAGTGCGTTACCGGCCTTTTGGGAATCGGGAATTTGAGGATTGTGGAGGATTCGGGGATTCGGGAGACTAGGGAGGGGGGTAATTGGGCATCCGGTAACCTCACTCACATGACGAAACACAACGCAAGCGTTGCTTCACGTCCGTTTTCTGTGAGGCCGTGGTATCACTCCGGTCGAGCCACCTACTTTTCACTATTTAGGTATGTTAAGTCCCAGGTACGTTAAGTATACCTACAATTCCAAACTCCATGCTAACGCTGGGATTTTTTTTAAAACCCAGTAATACATAGCCCGACCCAGGAATCTAACGCGACGCCCCTTGCCCGGCAGTCGCACTTGCGTCCACTCGGCTAACGAGGCAGTCGATCGAAGTAAATAGCAATTAAATATTAAAATATAAAAAATATTGTCGAACGCTAAGGTTTTTATTAACCGATCATTGATTGAAGTTTCATTAGCGTTTATACCTATGAATTTTAAATCTCTAGGGCAATATTAAGTTCAATTAATAAAAGTTTAGGGCGAACGAAACCGAAGCATTTGTTTGATTTGGAAAAATAACGTAGATTTTTAATCTGTATCTATTACATTCTATTTCCCAAAAGAATAGACGAATAGAGTTTCGAACGAACTTCATTTGAGACATTAATAGTTCACGTATTAATGTCTCAAATGAAGTTTGGCGTTCAATCCTAGTTATGAAGCCTTATTAAAATGGTACTTATCAGTTAGGTACTTACACCTGTAATTCATATTATAATATCCTATAATAAAACTATGTAACTATTCTATTCTATAATAAAACTATGTAACTAGAGAATTGTATTGTAAACCTGATTGAAAAAGAGTAACCTATGGAGTTTCTTGCTCGTTCTTCTCCATAGGAATCTACGCCTTGGAATGAGCAACTAGCTTCACTTATACATTTTTGTTGTTTGACGTTCAAAAGTGCCATCCTGGTCTAATTGAAATAAATGATTTTGACTTTTTTGACTTTTGACATGTAGATTAGGTAGGTACGTTACTGCCTCATTGGGCGAGTGGTTGCAAGTGCGACTATCGGGCATGGGGTTTCGCAGTGCCGGATTAAGCAAGCGCGGGGCCTGTAGCAAATTTTGTCAAGGGGCCCTTGGTTTGCCATCGGTTCTCATTTGGGCATTGACTAAAATTGGTGCCTTTCTTTTTTCTGGCGGCAGTCGATAATTTATAGAAAATATTGTCTAGAATGTCATTACAAACGAAATTGTCTATGGGCTCATGTATGGAAATCTCAGTCTGGACTGAGTTATGAGCGTTGAAAGGAGCTGAAGTCAAACATTTTACTTTGGTTTTTTTATTCAAATTATTCATATTTTTGTCACAATTCCCAACTTTAAATTGCGCGCAACTGTACGTCGGGCACAGGAACACCATATCACACCACAATATGTATATTCATATTCCCAGGCACAAATTTTTATTACCTATTTTCTCTCAGTCGATAACTTGTGGGATGCTTCTAGGAGTTGTGTCATGAAGCTTCATGAGCCTCAGCTATGTTACCAGTGGTGGGTTGAGTGGTGGTAGCCGTGCGAACATCTAATAAAGTATATTTTGTTTTGACATTGACTCCTGGTGGGAGACTCATCTACTTTATAGTTCGCATAATCTTTTGAAGAAAGGAAACCGTCGACTTTGTAAAGTGACGTAGGTATATCCTACGTCATATGCGCGTATAATTTTTTTTCATATAATGTGATCAGTCGAAATATAATCCATCACTTTGTGACTGAATGACGATATCTTTGTACAGAATCTTATGCTAGCTGTAGATTAGAGTATTAACTGTAGTTAAATTAGTGACTAATCGGGAGTAAGTCGGAAGAAGTAGACGGAAAAAACATTTTTTCGTGTTTTGACGATTGTCACTGCTCAATTCGCCACCGACGCCGCAGCTGACAAACATAGCATTTCGTGATAGGACTCAGTAAAGTATTTTGCGGGTTTTCGACTGAGAAGATATTGAAACTTACATGAAAACCTGTTATAGGCCATAAACCGTATACATAGGTATAAAGTGAACACGCTAGCCAAGCAAGCAAAATGTTTTTTTTTTTACTTGAACAGTGGCCAGTTAATGTTTGACTCTGTTATGATTCCGTGGCCTTATAAAAAAAGATAAAGAAGTCCACTATAAGCTTGACTATATTCCTTGAAATCGTTTATAAACATTTATTACAAAATATTTCTGACAAGTAAATGAAGAAATATGCGTTGTGTACGGTCAACATCAACAAAATAAAAGGAATTATATAGCACTATTTTCACATCTTTGAACTGATTTAACTCGGTTTGGACTGTGTTTATGATATAAGACCCCATACTATTTTTTTGTTTGTAATGTTATTCTGCATCAGTTTTTACACATCCAATAAACTGCCGCGAAAAAATAAAAAGGCACTACGCTCCATACAAATT